AGAAATGACAGAAATGACAGAAATGACAGAAATGACAGATAAGATAGAAATGATAGAAATGATAAAAATGACAGAAAAGATAATAATAAAGGATAAAAGAAATAAGTAATTGATTTATTAAATAAATTAGTAATAACCAAATAATGGAGTTCAATTTGATGATAAAGATTTCCCATCTTTATGAAGTGAGTCTTCAAAACAAATAGAAAAGTGAGAAATTTGGTTATATATAGTAAAAATATCAATTATAATTTCACTCTTTTCTCATTAGTGATTGTACTTCACTTAATTTATTAGATACTGGTAATCTAAGATTGATTTCTGATTTAGTATGTCTAATAAGTTCTTGTCTAGAAGTAGTTTAAGTTGATTTAAAAACATCATCAATTTTGGAGTTAAAACTTCTTACAGTTTATGGTCTCATAGGATGAACATACTTAGATACTTGATTAAACATAGGGCCTATTTCAATATTACGTCTTTTTTTTTTATCTCTTGAACCTAAACTCATTTATCTCATTTTATAAAATGCACTGCTTTTTATTTTATTGGCAGAAGCACCTCTAGAAATACATAATGAAACTGGAAATTGAATTTATCGAGATGTTGTTGTTGTTGCTTCTTCTACTTAATTATCTGTCTTCTATTTTGATATATGAGTTGGAATGTGACTATATTATTATTATTTTTCTGATTCTTATTCTTATTCCTAATCATCGTCTTTCTTTCTATGTATTTTTTATAAGTAATCTATAATATTTATGAATGGTGTTTCAATATTACGCGGAGAACGTAATTATTGAATTTAGTTTAAGATATGCATAGAGAATTTCTTGCCTGTCATTTTTTATTTGAGAGAACGATGCTTACAATTTTAACATAGATCTGACATACTTTAATTTATGTATTTTAATATTATTAAAATTAAATTCATTTCCATATTTTGATTGTATGATCTTTGCTACCAGTAATAAGATAACCATCCTCTCCGTCTAAATAAATCATGTCAGTTATTCTATCTTAATGTTCTATTTGATTAAAAGTATTTAGAGGATTTCTAATTTCATAATCCTCAATTATGAAAACATTGCCCTTCATATATTATTTGAATTTCCTATTTGAATTATATGGCGAACAAATCACATTAGTTTGGAATTCCTTTATTATTGAAATTATTTTACTAACTCATATTTATTAGCATCACTATTCAAAGTCCAGCTTTAAACACTTCTATCTTTAGTAGCTGTAATTATAGTATTTTCTAATCTTTGATTATATCCTCTACCGCTCAAACATAACAAAGATGTTATACTGGTTGTGTCATCAAATGAATAATCTACGTAGTTTTTCCACATATTGTCTATTAATTATTTTTTCACAGAAATAGAAGATAAATTCATATTTTATTTCTAGATTAGAAATTGTCTTTAATAATAACTATCATTTTAGCTTCTATCTATCCGATTTCTTTTTAGCTATTCTAAAATATTTTCTACATTTAAAACCGACTTAAGCTTTGGAATCTCTATTTAAGTATTCTTATTCTAAGAACAATGTAAAAATAAAGTTGGTTGTATTATGTTTTTATTGATATTGATATCAAAGAATGCAACCTCGTTATTTAAGGATTAATAACCAATGGCAATTAATTTATCACTAGTTGAATTTAATCCTTCTAGTAATGAATTTCGATTCATTTAAGATAAATTAAAGATTGGTAATGGTTTATCATCTTTAGTCATTAATTGATATATATTCATTTACATCATACATCTATTATCATATAATATTAAAAAACCATTAACTGTGCTTAACATTGTATAATTATTATCATGAATTAAACTAGACGCTAAACCGCATTTAGTATTGACACTTAATTATTAAGTTCTTCTTGTTCTGATATCTTCAAGAATCAAAGATCCTTTTTCAGTCACATAACAAAAGGCATTATCATAATCTACTATTTTCTTTATTCCTGAATCAGCTTTTGTAAAAGATGTTACTTTTACTTAATTCTTATATTAACTAACTTAACCAGAGTTTGTACCAACAATAAAACTATCTGCTCCTTCTAAAACACATATAGTATTTAATCTTTCAAGCTTATTTTGATCATCCATTATTTGTATTGAATGCAAACTACCACAAGTAAAATCTTCTTAAATTTTATTCATTTCATAAAATCTTATTGTTCCATCATAAGAGGCTGAAATAAATCTGTTTTGATCACTATATTTTTATAAGGATGTCACTATGTCTTTGTGTTCAGGAATAGTAGTGACTAATTAATTTTTTAATTTGAATTATTTTACAATCTTTCGTTATACACTTTTTTCATATTTAATTTCAGTCTATTGGATTTAATACGATTTCTATATAAATTAATTCATAATAATATTAAAACTGATAAAATTGATCCATTAAGTGCTAGATTTAAATTATTATAACTCGAAAAATTTGTTTTTGAAATTCTCATAATTTTCATGATTTTTTAAATCTATTCCAAAGTTAATTTCGCTAAAATTATTGAAATCATCCCAAGTTTTCTATTTTTTAATATATTCTTTGAAAATATTATAAGCATTTTATTTAAAGAAATTTAATTTAAAACTTGCTTCAAAAAACTCAAATAATTTTTAAGAAACATTTGATGATGGCAGCTTTTAAATTTGATTAGTTTTTTAAGTAGAGGTTTCAGAGTATCGTTTTGATTTCAATATATACTCCTCTAAATAATTTTTCTAATTATACTAAAGTCTATTTAAATTTACATAATTTTCAAACTGATGATTCTCCTACCAAAACTTTTAACTTATGGGCTTCTAAACTAAATTTTTAAAAATTTCTTCATCCAAATGAGGCACATCCTCTTTTAAATACTTTTTAATATGAGGAAGTATATGTAAATAAATATCTAAGCTGTTAAAAGTTTTTAATTAAATAGTAATAAAATGTTAGGCTTCATCTCTAACCCATCTATTATGATGTAAAACTAATGGAGATATTTCTTTTATAAACAATTTAATTTAATCTACTTCAAGCAATTATTAATCAGAAGCTTTCCTCAACATTCTTAAAGTATAAAAAAGAGCCTATTCTTATATGGTGTTCAATGGTAAACAAGTTAAGAATGCTTTCTTCATATCTGTCTTTGCATAATATTTTAGAATATCAAATCCTACTTCCAATAATGGAATTTTAAGATAGGATTTATTCAATGATGCAATTAAAAGTTTCATAATTTCCACCGTTTAAAATGTGTCATAGTATTTGAATACATTTTTAATATTCTAAATTATGATAATAGATTCTTCTTAATTATCATCTTATAATTTTTTTTATATTATTTATAAGAAATGATCCTTCTCCTCAATTCTATTTTATAATTATAAAACTTCTGCTATATCTCCAATCTTAATCCCTAACATTGGATTTTAACTCATATCTTGTAATCTAGTTTTAATTTATTCCCAACTATATAATTTAAAAATGAGTGCTTCAGTTTAAGAACTATATGGATAAGTTCTTCTTTTCAATAAATCTAAAAAAATAGAAAAGGCATATAGTTATGTTTATCCTTCATAATCTTCACAAAATTAACCCAAATTAGGAATGATGAGTGTATACATTGATGAATCATCGATGAATTCTAGAAAATATTCCACTAATTCTAAACCACATAATCTGGTTTATAAAAATCTACAATTCCTAATTGAATTAAATATCCATAATATAAATAAGATGTATTCATTCTATCTTTTATTAATATTATTCTTTACACTATCAAATAATACATTTCGACCACTTTATTTGGATTTCTAACCTAAAATTTTTTAAAAATTCTAAGACATAATTTTATTTTTTGTAAGTAAGGAATTAGTATCATCATCTGAGTTTTAAATTTCACTTTAATATTTATAAATTAAGTTTTCTGAATTTTCAATTTAGCCTGCCAATGTATTACTATTTTTAGGAGTTTCTAATTTTATTTCAGACAATTTATCTGGATGATCTGATTTAATATTTATATCAATAAATTTTTTCAAAGAAATAAATTATAAAGGGATTGGCATAACATAATTCCATTATTTAGATTAAAGCGAAGTAACAATTTCTCTGAATAAAGCAATTCTGAGATCAGGATACATAAACTCTCCTTTAAAATTAATGGCATAACAAACCTTTTGAATTAATTCATAAGTATCATCTTCACGAATTGAATTATAAAATATATTAAATGCTTCTTATGCAGTATAACGTTTATTTGCATTTAAATCAATTAGATTAGATATTAAATTTCTTATGATCCCTTCAACTTTGATAAGTGGATCAAATTCTCTTTTACGATATTATAATAGTTATTAAAATGTAAATAAACATTCACCTGTATAAATTTCATAAATGACACATCCTATTGAAAACATGTCCATTTTTTATAAATTTTAGATTGATTCTTTAGTAAGATTGACAATAGATTGTATTTCTTGATTATCAGCATATTTCTCAGGAGCTAATGTACATTTTTGAATAGATGATTCATAAACATTTCTTATGACTTCAAATTCATTAGTATAGTATGGTTTATATGATGCAAAGTCAGTCAAAACTAAATAATCTAAACTAGTAAGTAGAATATTTGATGAACGTATATGACCATGATAACAATTTAGATTATGTAATGTTTTTACAGCACTTAATAATTATAAAGTGTAAAAATTCAGAAAGCATTTTGGAAGTTTATAATTGGACTAAAGTCTTTCTTCAAGTGTCATATATAACATTTAACGTGAAACAGCTAAATAATCTTTATTACATTCATTCTACATTTCTTATGGAGATGGCTTCTCTATTTTACCAAAATTTATTAATCCACGAAATGCCATTAGATTTGGAAATGGATCAAATTATTCCATTAAATATTGAAAGTTTTAGAAATGGATATAAAGTTCATTATTTGTTAATTGTTTTAAAATTAAGTATACTTTAACAACTAAATTCTGATGATGCATTTTGTAATGTATGGACTTAAAAAGTTTATTGTCGGATAATCTTCTTTATCTAACTCCAATGTCCTATTCAGTGTTGTGAGTCTCAAAAGATTTCATTAAATCAAGTCTTCCTCTATTATCAATCAAAGTATTTCCCATTTTTATTTAAATAATCATTTTTCATATTTGTAATAGTTTATTAAAACAGTGTATCACAATTACAATTATAAACATCATTTAATAATCATTTTGTTATCATATTCAAAAGAATTCTATGATTCTCCTTCTTATCTGGATGAGTCTCGATATAAAAATCAATCCAATCTCTTGCTTCATCATATAAAGTATGTTCATCTAAAGTCATTTTATCTATATATTTATTTTAATAAATACAAAATAATTTATAATTCTTAATAGAATGAGGATCTTTCTTTATTAATTNTTCATAAGTATCATCTTCACGAATTGAATTATAAAATATATTAAATGCTTCTTATGCAGTATAACGTTTATTTGCATTTAAATCAATTAGATTAGATATTAAATTTCTTATGATCCCTTCAACTTTGATAAGTGGATCAAATTCTCTTTTACGATATTATAATAGTTATTAAAATGTAAATAAACATTCACCTGTATAAATTTCATAAATGACACATCCTATTGAAAACATGTCCATTTTTTATAAATTTTAGATTGATTCTTTAGTAAGATTGACAATAGATTGTATTTCTTGATTATCAGCATATTTCTCAGGAGCTAATGTACATTTTTGAATAGATGATTCATAAACATTTCTTATGACTTCAAATTCATTAGTATAGTATGGTTTATATGATGCAAAGTCAGTCAAAACTAAATAATCTAAACTAGTAAGTAGAATATTTGATGAACGTATATGACCATGATAACAATTTAGATTATGTAATGTTTTTACAGCACTTAATAATTATAAAGTGTAAAAATTCAGAAAGCATTTTGGAAGTTTATAATTGGACTAAAGTCTTTCTTCAAGTGTCATATATAACATTTAACGTGAAACAGCTAAATAATCTTTATTACATTCATTCTACATTTCTTATGGAGATGGCTTCTCTATTTTACCAAAATTTATTAATCCACGAAATGCCATTAGATTTGGAAATGGATCAAATTATTCCATTAAATATTGAAAGTTTTAGAAATGGATATAAAGTTCATTATTTGTTAATTGTTTTAAAATTAAGTATACTTTAACAACTAAATTCTGATGATGCATTTTGTAATGTATGGACTTAAAAAGTTTATTGTCGGATAATCTTCTTTATCTAACTCCAATGTCCTATTCAGTGTTGTGAGTCTCAAAAGATTTCATTAAATCAAGTCTTCCTCTATTATCAATCAAAGTATTTCCCATTTTTATTTAAATAATCATTTTTCATATTTGTAATAGTTTATTAAAACAGTGTATCACAATTACAATTATAAACATCATTTAATAATCATTTTGTTATCATATTCAAAAGAATTCTATGATTCTCCTTCTTATCTGGATGAGTCTCGATATAAAAATCAATCCAATCTCTTGCTTCATCATATAAAGTATGTTCATCTAAAGTCATTTTATCTATATATTTATTTTAATAAATACAAAATAATTTATAATTCTTAATAGAATGAGGATCTTTCTTTATTAATTCTCTAAGACTGTTAATGTATTAATTTCCAAAAAAGTCTCGAATGAATTTAACTAATATTATAGTATATTAAGTACTTCTCAATTTATTAGCTTTTCTACTATCTGGATTACTTAATAAATACTCTGTTAGTACCTTTAAACCTTCTTCCTTATTTTTATCACCTAATATTTTAGCTTTCATTTCAACCAATTTTATTGATTATTCATATGGGAGTGAATTAATGTATTATAATGCGATTTCATTAGAATATATCTTTGTAAGCATTTAAACTTTAATGCAGATTAAAATTACCTTTTAATAATTGAATTTCTTCATTTAATGGATTAATTTCAAAGTATTTATCTATTACCATTAACAGATCTTTTTATCTTCCTTAATTATGTAATAGTTTAACTTATGATAATTATGTATATTATGTACTTTTTGTTAAATAACCATTTTCATCAAAAGGATTCAATTTAATATGTTAATCCAAGAATTGAATTGCTTTTTCATGCTGTTTCAAGATTGTAGTTGATACATCTCCTTTTTTTAACAAAATATTATCCTCTTAATTAGGGCATTATTAAATAAATTTCTCCCAATGTTATTTGATTTAAATTGGTTTACATTTGTATTTCATAAATTAAGCTAAATGATAATAATTTCAATCTTACCTTTCTCTTCATATCCAATAAACTAATTTGGGAATAAATTTATAAATTCATCAAATACTTGTAATGCCTCTTCCAATTAATTAAGTAAATAATAATATTTTGCTAAGGTTAATAATTAAATCATCATACCTTTTTCAATATAGAACTTAATATCATTCTTATTTTATAAGATAGATTATTCAATTTATTTAATGTTATAAATCTAAGGAATGATACTATTCATTACTAGTATTAAATCTATAATTACCATCATTAAAAACTTCATTTTGAAAAATTAGCCTTTTTTTTTATTCAACATTTTATAGCATATTTAATTTTTCTACAAGTGAATCTTTGCAAATAAAATTTGATATAATATATTTTAGTTTTTCTAATTCATATCCGTTGATAACCTGATTTTAAGACTTATCTAAAATAGAATTGAGAGATTACAATTTTCAATATCAGAGTGGATAAATTAACATATTTCCTTGATATCTAAACTACTTAAATAATCAGAGATAATATTGGAATTGAATTTCCCCTTTAATTGAAATGCAATTTAGCATTTTTTATTATAACCTTCCCAATTATTAGGAAATTTAACTAAATATTAATTTAATTAATTTTCATCTTTATCCAAAAGGGAAAGTTATTCAAATCCATAGAGATCATTTGGATTATTCTTTATAAATAATTTTAAAACTGAAGATTCATTTTGAATGTTCAATAATCTCAAATATCCTGTTCTATTAGTTGGATTATCATTTATAAATTATTTCCAAAGTTCTACTTATTCTGATTGAGTTGGTAACAAATCATTGAGACAATCATAGCCTTCAATTGAACTTGGATTTTCTTTCAAGTACTTTTTATAAATATTAATTCCTTCTTCAAATTAATCCAAAAAATCAGTTAGAAATCTAACTTATAAGAATTAATGAAAATTTACATGCTTAATGATAATATTTGAGTTGTACTCTTGGTTATTGCAAATAATCTTCAATTATTTTTTAATAATCTTGATTGAAATAACTATGAAGTAAACATAATTTTCTAATTAATATATGTCTATCTCTGTAGAGAGATGATTCAATTCCATTATGAAGTTGATAAAATAGAATTTCCTTTTATGATTTAGAAATGGAACATTAAAATTATTTATGCATTGTGAATTCTTAACAATCTAGAAGGATAGATTACAATGGCATTGTAAGAAATTTATCATCATCTTATAAATATTTGCTCAATACTATATAAAATAATAGATATTTTATATACATTTATATTGCCATGAATCAGGGAAAACTGATTTTAGTAGTTAATGATTTGATTTTAAAATTTATGATGCAATTGATTATCTTAATTATAAGAAGGCTATTCGAAATTCTTTTTTTTTGTAATGTAATTGAGAGAGGACATATGATTTATCAATTTGAGTTGTTTTATTCATATATAAATAATCTAATTAATAAATTTATTTAATTTTGAATCATTCACAAGCAAATTTAAAATCTAAAGATGTTATACAGATTTAGAATGCTTGTAAAGGGGATAGAGGATAACAGAAATCTAGATTGAACACTAAATCTTCTGCACTTCCAAATTATAAATGAATAAATTAATGATTATTTGGTTTGACTAATTAAAAATTCTTAACAGAGGGTTTCTCTACTCTTCCGTAAAAATCAAGGACATGTTCTTTCATCTAAGGATCCCAACTTGGAGGTTTATTTATAAATTCTTCTATATATTCTCTCTAAGTATTTTAATAATCATATTATATTCCCTCATTATTTTGACGAGGTTGAAATATTTTTGAAATATTCTATTCAACTTTAGGCAATAATACTAACATTTTTCGAGGACCTTTACTTTACATGATGCGATTTTCATAATAAACAATTCCTAATTATTTTCTAATTTAATTAGAATTTTCTTAGCATTTTTTAAAATTCTTTCCTTTATCCCAAAGTATGAATTCTGTTCCAAGAAAATTAGATTTAACTTTACCTAAGAAATTTGAATCATTAATTGAAAATTCTTTCTTATCCATAGATATTATGTAATTAGATTTGGTTTTCATGGCTACTTTTTTTGCACTAAATAAATAGATATCCTCTTCTGTTGTATAAACATGATATATTGGATAGAATCTGGCAAGACCACTTTTATCAATTTTAATGTAGCATTATAGAGTTCTATTTTATATTAGTGGAGTAATGAAGAATTAACTTCTTTTCTCTGGATTATCCATTTAATCTTTTACATATTAAATATCAAGATTTTGAGGGAAAGGGTACTCAAACAATTAATTATGATTTGGAGATGATAGAGGTGGTTATAATTATGATTAAGATTATTATTAACAATTATTTTCTATTATTTAAAATAATTAAGGTTAATCTTATTATAATTATTATTTCTTTTAATTTCCATGTTCACTTATTTCTGATTTTATTTAAAACGCAGATGAATTATGGTTCTCCCTTTAATAAATATCTTAGCTTGATTTGAATCTTTAAATTGAAGGAATTGGATTTTCATCTTATTCAATTTATTTTTTTAATTCTTATTACTTTTATATTTCAATTATTTCTGCAAATGTTTTATGTCTTCCTAGTCTAATTTGATGTAAAGATTATCCATCTGAATTAATATGGTGCATTCCTGGTTCATAATTCTAATTCTGTGTATTTAAGCTTGGCAACTATTTTCTTTTTTATTGTTGATATGCTTATCCATTATTATTACTATTAAATATAGTGATATTGTCATTATTATCACTGCCATTTTAATTCATATTTTTTAAAATTTATTATAATAATTAATGAAAGAAAAAAGTGAAACATAATTTAATAATCTATTTAAGTCTATTTAATATGGTATGTATGAGGTGGTAATATTTTGTTAGTTACAAAATTTATGAAATAAAAATAAAATTATATCTAAAATGAACAAATAAATGAATTCAACATTTGGTAAAGCTGAACGATTTCCAAAACTTCAATTAAATTGTGAGAATTTTAGTTAAGGAGAATCAAATTTATAAATAAAAATAATGGGTCCAACATTTCCAAAAAGTTAACGACAAATATTTGGTTATTAAATCTAAACACCAGGTCCAGGGAATTACAATATTGGAGATTTTAAATCAATAAAATAATAAGCAGATAAGCTTTATAGAGTGAATAAAGAATTTATAGATTATATAAAATCAAGACCTCGCTCTATGTTACACAGCAACCCTGGTCCTGGAACATATGAATTAGGATCAACTCTTAGGAGTAGAGGGATTTCATTTACAAAAGCAAGAATTAGTAGTTTTAGAATTGAATAATCCCCTGGACCTGGAGAATATACCATAAGCAGGCCAATTTCAAGAATATAATGATTATAATTTTATAATGGATAATTTTCTTATTGAAGGAAAAAGTGATGATACTTACTCCTTGAGAAAGCTACTAAAATATTATGCTTATTTGTTTGTCACATCAATGTTTGTTAGCTTCTTGGGATCTATCATATACATTACACTATTAATTCAATTATACACAACATGCAATGCATAGACAGGATAATAAGTGGCTATAAGTTAATTAATTTCTTATATTTTGAATGGAGTATTTTCATATGCTTGTTTACATTTAGTCTCTTAATCCAAGACTATATTTTTTGTGAATTTTACAGTGATTCTAACTTTAATATCAAAAATAATAGCTTTGGTATTTGCTGCAATTCTAAAGAATCGAAATTGGGGTGAATGTTACATAACTTAAGCATAAGGTGTGATGCTGATTACTAATATCAGTATTGAATTTTGCATATTGCTTGTCTTATATTATTTCACTCGCAATTTGTATTATAGATTAGAAGAAAAGTAATTGAGAGTTTCTTTAAAGTTATTGTTTGAATAATGACAACATATCTATATATATATATGTAACATATATAACATAATATATAATCAAATAACCCTAGCGAAAGTCCATCCGACTATCCTATTTAATTTATAATTCTCATCGGTGTAATCGGTGTCTCCCAAATTCTAAACATTTATAAAACTATATACATGAGTATAACTCTTAACAACACTAGCTAAGTTTTCTTATGTTAATCCAAAACTAAGCTTTTCCTATGGATTATCCCAATCTAACCATTCATGTTATTTAATGATATTCCAATTAACTTGGGATGGAAACTTACATCCAATCCTTTTATTGGCTTCTTTCTACAATAGACTCTATAATAATGATTAACAAGATTTGCTTAATCTACTCGGAATCTATAAATTATCATTTCTGATGTTATTATATAAGGTATCTAAATCTTCACTAAAGTAAGGAGGTTCTCCAATCAATAATTCATATAACACTGTACCTATTCCATAAACATCTGTTGCTTGTACAGCCCCTTTTTAAGAAAGAACTTCTGGTGCAAGATAAGCAGGAGAACCACAAAATGTTTTTGCCTTTCCCATTTCTGCTTATTTAGAAAGTCCAAAATCTACTAACTTTATTTTATTCTCATTGTCTATAAGAACATTCTCAGGCTTTAAATCTCTGTAAATTATATCTTTACTATGTAAGTATTCTACTGCTTTCATTAATTATCTAATGATTATCTTACATGTAGCTTCATTGAAAGTCTTATGTTTATATAGATGAAATGATAAATCCCCTCCACCACAATAATCCATCACTAAATATAGATTATTTAGAGTCTAAAAAGATTAGAATAAATTCACTATGTATGGTGAATCTACTTATTTCAATATATCACATTCAGTAACTGCAAATTTTACTTACTTCTTTTGCAGCAATTTTCTTTTATTTAATTGTTTCATTGCATAAATTTAATTTGTTGGATTATATTTAACCAAAAATACTTTACCAAATGCTCCCTATCCAATTTATTTTATTACAGTATAATTTATTAAATATTATTTAAATTACTCATTCCCTTAATTTCCTTCTACTGGAGAAAGTGTACGAGTTGGAGATTACTATTATTATTATTATTCTTTTTATTATTATTATTATTATTATTATTATTATTATTACTATTATTATTCCTATACTTAATAAGCTTCCTTCTACAAATTTTAAGCAGCTTGATCATTTAAAGATTAACATCTAGAATCTGCTATTATATTAAATTATCCACCTTCACCATTACTTATAAATTGATTCAATCCCATTATATCTCCTTTGATAGATAATTAAACTATCTTCTTTTCAACTTCTTTGTAATATATAATTGAGTCTTCAAGACTCTTCTTCCAACTCAGAATTGTACTCTTGCTTTTTGAACAAAATAATAGTATTTCAACTCCGCCTTTCTTATATGAAACCTACAATAGAGAAATCAATTTGTCTTACACTTAAATATTCATGATCACTCTTCATATACCATTCTCTTTTTGGGTTCCAAACTGACACTACATTTGATAATGCAACTGTCTCTATTGGATTAAGAGGACAATCTCCTTCTGTTTTATATCTGCAAAGGGTACCTGCTTCTGGGTCTAAGGTTAAGTAACGTTTATAATGAAAGAACTTCATCACATTCACTTTCTTTATATATCCTTTCTAAGCGTTAGGCTTGACCAATTCCTAAGCCTTATTCAATTTCTATTAGCAGTGATATGTCACCAATTAAGCAGCATATTGATCTCCTTTTATTTCACTTAAATCCACAGCCTATGCATCGAATTAAGGATGTTTTAGAATCAATTCTACAATATCTAGCTCTCCTTTTTGAACTGCCAATTGTAAGGCACTCTTTCCTTACGCACAATAGTTCACATCGCAAACTTACTTACTAAGAAGAAGTTTAGCACATTCTACTTTTGAGTTTTTTAAAGCTAATTAAAGTGGAGACTATCTATCCTTTGTACAAAGATTTATATCAGCCCCTTCCTCAATCAGATATGTAACTAGTTCTTCATGTCCATATAGGTTTGCATAGTGGAATCCGCTAAATCCACAATATTATCTGTCATTTATAATATCAAAAGATGGACTTTTATGATTGCTAACCATCGCTTTTATTGCTGGAATGTCATTGCATTTTACTTGCTTATAAATTTGAAATACAATATTTACTTTAATGAATTCAGCAGCAATTTCCATTTAGGATTTATGCATGCCGATAGACTTCTTGCGATTCTCATCTTCTTCTTCTGAATCCTCATGTACTATGCCCAACTTTTCATATCCTTTCATACGATTGTATCCTTTCTGAACTTCCAAGACTTCGGTGGTTTCAGGAGTTTCTTCTTCTACAGCTTGATTCTCCCTATTCACATAAATGAATTGGCAATCTTCAGGATTGTAATAAAAAAGATGCCGATCATCTTCAAGAGTGTGTTCATTTAAGATCAATGTCTATTCTTCTTCACGAATATCTGTAAGTTAAGCGATTTGTTATTTCAATTAAGCCACTTTGATGTTCGGACTCACAGTACAAGTCTTAGTACTCATATTACCCCATTGTGAGCAATAACGAATGATGATTTTCATAATGTAATGCACAATAAAACTAAAATCAATGATGTTTTTAATACTGTAATGTACAATCATATTAATATATATAATAGGTCAATTAATCACTTCTTTAATAAGTAATCCGTCCACTTTTGCCTAATGTTCTGAGCATAAATGGAAGGCAAGTTTCGCAAAAGAGCTTACTATAACAATTCTCCTTCACCTAATTTCTCAGCCTCTTAGAGAGCCTTCTATAGAACAAATGTTCCAAATTTATTTTTCATTAATTCCAAACAAATGCTATCTTAAGATAATTGTTTTATGAATCGTTTTTAAGTTTTAGCTGAAGTTTCCAAAATACATTTTTCTACTACATTTGAAGAATATTTGTGTATTGATAATTACACTAATTTCTATAAAATTTTATCTATTATTGGAGTGCATTTTTAATCACCATAAACCTTAAGTATATGATTAATACAAATACATCTATCACATGCTATACACCATAGTTCCCAAAAGGATCTTATACTATTTCATCTAATTAATCACGCATCTTAATTAAAATAAAATTGCATTTCTCTAGATTATTTTTAAATTTAGTAATAAGATCTTTTAAAACACAAAGTCCGAATTGATGATTAACAACTTAAATGAATCTCTCCATTAATTTGCAAAATATCAAATTTAAACGATCTTCTTAGAATCTGGCAATTATCTTTTTAATTAGATGTGTTCCTTAACTGTCTAAAGTTAAATAAATGATATGATTTTTTATGCTATTTTCTACCATTTCTTCTTCTTATTTTGATGATATCAAAGAAACCAATGATTGAATAGCATGAGTACCTTTTTTATCACATGCAATATCTACTAAATGATTAGAGATCTATAAAAATATTTATAAATAAAATGTTACAGTTTGTAAAATATATAATCGTTAATGAGGAGCACAACTTTAACTCAAGCTTCCAAACATATAATTAGCATATGGATCAATCATAAGATCACTAATATGTGGACCAATTTCTTATAATAGTTAATCTAATTCAATTTATGTGCAAGTAGTAAAATGTTTTTAGATGAGTCGACTGCCGTGTTAAGTTTTAACAAAATTGACAATATTACCACGTATTGAATCAAAACTTTAGATATCTTCTGTCCATTCATCAGGTTGTGTTTGTTCTTCTAATTGAAATGATTAAAAACGAACTCTAGATTGTACAGGTCCAAGTTAAGGTGTAAAATTGCGTGTTTTAGGTGAGAATAGGAAGGAATCAACAATTGGAGATGATTTAGGTGAATGTTTGGTAAGATGTTTAGCAATGTCAGATGAGAGGTTGATTTGTAGAGATTTAAGACATAAAAATGGTTGATTGTGTTCTTCTTCTCTTTACATAGATATACAGATTCCATCGTAGCCAATGCAAATGTAATCGTTGACAACTTTGGTGGCATTATAGAAGAATTCATAAGAGTGAACATTTTTAGCTTCTTAGATGAGATTGGTATCTATAATATGTATATCTAGTTGAATTCTGCCTTGCATCAATGGTACAAGATGTTTTTATCTCTTTCCAAAATACTCTCTAAGATTAGCATAATCTATTAATATGGATGTATTCTTCTTTTATTTAAGTGTAGTTGAATGTGTTAGATTTAGATATGGTTATTATGCTATGGTATGGAATATTTTGAATTCTACAAAGACTTTAACATTTAGATCCAATAAGTCATAGTCTACTGGGATGCGTTCCATAATTTATGCATGTTAGATTTGATTATTTAATAGAGCAAGTTGCGCAGTTTTATGTTTACATGTAAGAGCACATTGAGTATGGACATCAAAATACTACGAAAGTAGATTGGAATACAATTAAGTATGACCTAGTTATACATTTTGGTAGCATAATGGACAGATTGAATTTTCATTTGAGCTCTTTCCAATTATCTCATAATCCTCGTCTACGACTAAAAACATATAAAACTAGAATACTTAAAGATTCTTCTAATGTACTACTGCACTTTCGAGAGTCTTAGTCACTAAAATAATAATAACAATTATTTACTTGGCGCACTTTGAGAAAATCTCTTTGAACTCATTTGGAACAGGGTCATCCCATCCGAATAATGGATAAATATCCTCAGTCATATTATAAACTTCTTGTATTTTAAAATAATAAATTCCTGAGGAAAGATTGTAAATTTTAATTGGACCATTTTTTAAATGCGTCATATGAGATATTAAATTGCAATTGTGTATATAATATTATGTATATATATATAGATTGTGTGGAAGATTATAAACTAATAGGCAAACATTCATTTAATAATCATTAATTATTATGATTTGAGTTCGCTACAAGAAAGTCATAGTAATCGAATTTCCGATAAGAGAAGTTCTGATAGAAGAGACTATTTCTTTCGTTCCTAAATCTCATTGGAGTAATATGAGAGGATTGAGAAGGTTTGTTGATTTTAGGTAATCTCAGAGTTGGCATCTCAAATATCTTAATCTATTTCAATTCGTACGCTAATTATGGACTTGATTACTTTTTCTATTGCGATTGTTTTGGGAGTCTACTTAATCCGTATAGTTTTTCAATTCTATGAGGTTTAATTATTTATTCTTATTACATTATTTATATAAATATGTCTTAAGATTAAGAATTACTTACTAAGATCAAAACTCTAGAAGAAAACATTTAAAGTAGACATCGACAAATTGTTTAACTCACTGATCAAGTCGAAGAATTATAAAGAGCTATTTAAAATAATTCTGAAGTATTTTATAACTTCTATATTCAATAGGTAGTTGAACTTAATGAAAAAGTAAGAATGCTTGAATCTTAGAATGTTAAACTTATTGAAAAGAATTAAAATGATGTTGTTGAATGGAGATCTAAAGAACGAGACTTCAATGTATAAATCTTATATTTCAAAATATAGAATCAATTACAAGCATTACAACGTAAATTAGGTGAAGTTGAATCTGAACTTACTGAGACTAAAGAATTAAACAAACAATTAATTAACAAATCAAGTGAATCTTCTGATCAATAATCACAGTTACAACAAATTACATCACATTATGAACATCTTTTAACTGAAAGGGATTTACATATCAAATAACGTGATGCTAAAATTGCTGAATAAGATCTTATTATCATTAATTTATAAAAAGATTTAGCTCTTATTTCTGAAAGAGAATAGGCATCTCGAATCATTCAAGAATAATTAAATGAATAACTTAAAATTTTAGAAAAAAGAAATATTGAATATTCATCATAAAATCAAAAATTAGATATCATGGCAGATTAAATCAAATCACTTACTTTATTAAAAGATTAATTATAGAATGAAAATTCTACCCTTCAATCTTAATTATAAGAATTGACATCTAATAACTCTCATTACTAAGTTTAATTATCAGAATTACAAAATAAAACTAATAGAGAAGAAAAACTAATCATTGAATTGTAAAATACTCTAAAAGATTCTTAAAAAGAATATAAAGAAGAAATGACTAAAATTATGACCATTATAGAAAAAATGAAAGAAAAAGTAAATAATATATAATTATCTAAGCATTCTCATGAATAAGAATAATACAAATTAAGAATGCATGAAAGAGATGATATTTTAAAGGAAGCAAAAAAATAATTTGAATTAACTACTAAATAATTTGAAAAGTATTTTATATGTAATTTTATTCTAGAGAAAATACTACTTTGATTACTTAAATTTAATAAGCATCTAAATAATAAGCAGATCTTTTAAAGAAAATTTCAGATTTAGAATTTAAACTTAGAGAACTTGAATCCAAACTTTAAGAAAGTAATCGTTAATATATTAAATAACTTGAACACTCTAAATCCCTTGATATTGAAGTAAGTAATACTAAAATATTTAGCTCAAAAAAACAATCACTAATTCTTAAAAATTATAAGAATAAATTATTTTGAAAGATGAAGAAATGTAAAAAACTAAATAATTTTAACTTAAATTACTTCAAGAAAATTAAGATTTAAAATTAAAATTAGATAACTATGCTTAAATCAATTCAAAAAGTAAATCAAATGAATTATAGAATCTAAAAAACTAATTATCAGAAAAAGATCAAGAATTAGAATTGTTAAGATAACAATAAAAATCATTAGCAACTCAATTAAAAACTAGCTAAGGTTATGTAACTAGATTTAAAACTAGAGTTAAATAATTAGAAATGGATAATACAGAATTATTAAAATCTAAAAATAACTTAGAAACACTATTCCAAGAAATCCTAGACTAAACTAAATAAAAATAAAATATTAAAAATTTATCTGCTCTTTCAAATAATCCTACTAAATATTAAATGAATCTTTTATCCTAAAGAAAAAACTATTTGCAAGAAAATACATCCACTCATTCCTAAGAAAATAGATCATCAAGTTAAAAGTCAAACAATACAACTCCAAATAAAGTTGCTAAATCAGGTGATGTTTCTTTTAAAAGACCTATTCAAGTTAGTGGACATAAAAAATCAACTCATTCAGGTTCTTAGGAAAATATTACTATCAAAGAATAAAATGAACTTAATGAAATTAAAGAATTAGATGAAAGCTTATAATAATAAACTAAACCATAACCCTAAGATCATTCTTAATAAGAAATCAAATAAGTTGATAATATAGAAGATACCTAGAAAGTAATCGAAAATAAAGAACCTCATGAACAATAAATTGTAAATGAACAAGATAATAATAATAATGAAGAAGTTGAAGATTTCCTTGATGAATAAAATGATCTTGAGTGAATTATTTATATTTAATTTTTATTCATATATGACTTTGATTTTCTATAGAATTATAAATATTATATATTCAAATAAATATTTTATAAATTTATTACATCAAATATGTAAAAAATGAAAAAATAATATTATATTTTTAAAAAAGAAAATCACAACTTTTTCAATCCCTATGGAAATGATTTAAAAAAATATTTCATTTGATATGAAAACTAAACACTGAGTTCATTATTGAAAAGTACCAAAGAATCGTAAAATTCTTTTTTTTTTTAATTTAAATATCGATAAAATGTAGTTGAAATTATTAAGAAGAAATAAATAGATTCTAAAAAAAACAATGAGATTTAGTTGATGATCTCTGAGAAAATAGTATAGAGTATTGTTAATATAAAACTTTTATTTAAAACGAAGCTTTTATGTAACATTCATAATTTAGAAATTATATATTAAAAATTCTCTTTTGCTTTCTATAAAATAGAGATCATTTTGAAGAATATCATCCATTCTATTAATTAAGAATGAAAAAGGCATTTTTAGTATGAATTTTAAAAGTTTAAGAAAATATGCAAAATACCATTTAAATATATTTAAGATATTAAGAAAAGAAATAGAGTTTTAATTTCTAAAATTAATCAAAAACTAAATAAAATTAATTAAAATCAAAGGAATTACGTAGATTATAAATTAATAAAATTTGAGAAAATGTTTGGAATATAAGGTATATCTAGTTTTAAGATTAAATCAAATTACTTCAGAACAATATGGATAGCTCTAAATATAGGGATAAACAAAATATTTATTCATTGAATTTAAACCAGAAATTCTCTGTAAATAAGATTTAATTTTAAGAAAGTTTAAATTATTTTTTGATCAATAAAGATAATATTCGATACATTTTAGTTTAACTTTAAACTTAAAAACCACGGACTTTTTATAGAAAAATTGAATACATATCCAATTTTAATGAAAAAGATTATGAGAATAAGTGTTCTTTTCTATTTTACGTAATACTCAATTTTCAAGTCTGTTTTATCAAACAGAAGAAATCAAATTTTATCATTTAAATAAAATTAACAGTATTATTTTAAAATTGAATTATATATTATAGTAAGAGGAAATATGTTGATTTTAATTCAAAAAAGTTAAAAATTAGAATCTTATTTAATCTTCTTATCGCATGATAATAACTTATTTTAATACATATAGATAATATTTAAGATATTTTTTTTGAATTAGGAATTTAAATTAATTAATTTTATTTTAATTCAAAATTTGTAAGACTCTTACAAATTCGAAATACATTATTTAAATTTTTTGATTAATAATCTATAATTAGTCCATAAAAACTAACTTTCTTATTAAATATGATACTAAAGAAATGATAGATAAAGTTATTTTTCTCATTAAAACTAATCGAGAATAAAAGTAATCGACTGGAATCTCATTTAAATAGATATATAAATGATATTACTATATAATGATTTTTGTTACCTTAAACATTTATTAAGGTTTATTAGATTCGAGAATATTTATAATATTAAAAAAAGATTAAAATTACATACTGTTGCTGCACTTGCAAATGTAGTATTGTGAATATTATCAAATTTTAAATTTACAAATTTTTTTCTAAAAAATGCTTGATCTATCTGGATTTTAATATTAAAGATAGATGGCTAATAAAATGCATTTATTGGAAATATATTATAAAAAGAAGATAGTCTATGATAGATGGAAATAAAAACATTTAAGAAATAATTCAGATGTGTAAGTTAAAATTATAATATGAGGTTACAAATTTTAGATTGATTTTAATGATATTAATGTAAAAATTAATGAATGATTTATTATTGAGAAATAAATTTATAAAATATTTGTTGAAAAAGGTTGTTAATAAAATTAGGATTTAAAGAGGTGAAATAATGGTTAGATTGAATTTTAGTGAAATAGATTTAGGTGTTAAAATTTCTAAATGTAAATTAAATGGATCATCTGCTTTAAAAATAATTTTGAAAAAAGGTTTTTTCTTAAATAAAAAGAGGATTAAAAAATTTCAGAAAATGGCGATCAATAATAAAGCCATAGAATTCAGAATTAAAAAGAGGGATCAAATAATTTCAGGAAATGGTGAACAATCGATCAAGCCATATAATTGGATCACTTGTATTTTAGGAAATTTTTAAATGAAAAAGAATTTTGTGATCTATTAAGCATATTTGTGTAAAGATGGTAGTTAAAACTAAAAAAAATATTTTTAGAAAAAGGAAAATATTAGAAATAAAAATAATCAAGGCTTTTGTTTTGATGATAGTTCCTTTAATGAATGGAACATATGTTTGGTTTCAATTTTTTTTGATAACATAAATTATTATAATCTAAAGGGATAGGTAATTTACAAAAATGGAAAAATAGTATTTTAGAATATTTTTGGTAGAGATTATTGAAAATGTGTAACTTTAATCTAGAATTATTAGATAATTGAAGTAAAATAGTTAGTAATGATTTTAGAGAATTTAATTTAAGGAATTAATTAATTGATATTGGTAAAAATGAACAAAAAGCAAATTATATCTTTATATAAATTTTTTAACTAATAAAATTGTAATATAAAAATAAATATTTTTTTAATTTAAAAAAATGCATATTAAGGAGAATAGTATAATTTATAGAATTGAAGATTCTATTTAATTTTATCTTAAATCTTTGATTGGTTTTATAAATTTTTCAATTTGATGTTTTAACTAATCTATTAATATGAAATATATCTAATAGATGGAAATCTAAAATTGTTAATTATTATGTTTATATATATATGGAGATGTGATTTGTGAGTTCAATGATTTAATGAATTATTTTGGTGTAAAAATTTGAGTGTTAAATTAAAATAGAAAAAGTTATATGTGGATATGATTAATAAAGATGATTAAATTCATTTAGTTAATAAGTTGAGCTAATTTGAATAAAAGGAGATTTATATTTGTTGGGATATAAATTAATTGAAAATAAAAGAAATAATAAAAATAAATTTGAGAATATATTAATATTAATTATATAAATTAATTAATGGATCAATTGGATTAGAAATAGTTAGAATAACTAAAGTAGTAATAAGCATAGAAGGAGTAGATGGAAGAAGTGAAAAAGTCTATATTGACATAGATTTTAACACCTGAAGCAAAGCAAAGATGTATATTAATTGAGTATTTGAATTTTAGTGGCAAATATAAAATTAGTGAAACCAGAGAAGGCAGAATTAATAGAAGTTTAACTTTGTTAATGGGCAAAGTAAGGAAAGATAACAAATTAGTTATCAGAGGAGGAATTAATAAAATTGTTAGAAGCAGCTGAAGGATAGAAAAAATAAGAAACAAAAGTTACTGTAATATATAGATATATAAATAAAATAGTTTAAGAGAAGGAAATTATCAAGTGATGATGAAGATGATATTTGAATGTATGTTACAATAATATATATAAACAATTAACAAAAAGATAAATTCATGTTGATAACTCTCTTAAATAATCAAAACAAGTAAATTGAATAGAAGCAGCTGGAACTATTCTAATGAGTGTAATCCAGAATCCTCTATAATAAGATATTAATCCTTCTTTTCTCATTTTCTTGACACAATCAGAAAATGAGACATAAGCACTTAATGCTCCTAATGATCCATTAATTTGAATTCTTCTTCGAATTGTATCAATAGGATAAGTTAGAGCTGTAGCAATAATAGTAGAAATAGATCCGATTCCAATAAACTTTGCCAATTAAATTAAACTCAAATCAGGTTTATGTTATTAAGGTATATAATCTCTTAATTAATCATGTACAAGAAAACTTATTCCTAGATATGGTATTATACCACAAGAGGATATTATGAATCCTTGATAAAAACCAGAGAATCCTTAAAAATTATATGTTTTCTTTATGCAATCAATAAATCCAGAATACATACTAGTCTTATTACAATGACTCATGTCTACTGTTAATTTTACACGTAGAACTTCAAGTGGATAATGGATTATTTAATTTAATAAACCTGTACAAAATCCTGCCACTAATCTGTTTGTTACTTTTCTTATATACTATTTTAGGTATTAAAATATTTTATACATTTTCTTTTTATCGATATTCAGAAACATAATGTTTGAATTTATCATATACAGTAAAACGTATTGCTGCATTAGGAATAGTTTTAATTACATTTAAACCATTACCTCTCCAAAATGAATATAATCCTTAGGTTTTATAAATCTATTATATTCCTAACCATGTTCGATCAATCTTATCTTCACATTTTAAAATGGGACTTACCTATAATATCAATTTCATTCTTTCTAAAGGTGCTGTTGCTGTTTTACTAAAAGCTTATGAGAATGTAGTAACAACCATACATTTCCAAAATGTTAATTTTCGTTATTATTTTTCTTAAGGGTAAGACATTTTTTGTTTATTTAATGAAAATTGAAAATATATTTATTTAATTATTTTATAAATATTCAAGATTTTTTAGAGATACGAAGTGTTTTTTATTTCTTTAAACTAACACGAAGACGAGATGACTTTTCTTAACCAATTTGATTATTATCATCATCTAAAAAAATGAAAGAACTCTATTCAATAATTGATGACACAAATCTCTCCACATCAGAATGGATAAAAAATATATTCTTAAGTTGCATTGCATAAATGTCATTACTTAATTTAAAAATCCTTTATCGTAAAGTCATAATGTCTACGGTATCTCTAGTAAATTTTAATTGCAACTTTGCAGTTTTAATTTCCTATCTATATTTCATTATTTCTCTCTATTCTCTAATATGAGATCGATATCTTTCTCTCATCAATAGAGTAATAAACAAATTCTAAAAATATATTTGATATCCTTTTTCATATAAAAATTTAACCCAAGTTAAAAATCTTTTATCACCTTTATGCATTGATTAATATTGATGAACTTTCATTGTATATTAATCCCATTTTTATATCATCTTTATTTTATATTCACGTACATTCCTTACAAATTAATTTAAATTTATCCTGATTAATTGTAATTTAGTACTTGCAATAAGAGCCTTCTTTTTAAACATGTACAATTAGGCTCTCCATTTTAAAGTTGGTAAAACTTGTACTAATGAATTGTATATAATTCTCCTTTTAGATTACTTACAAAACATCATTAAAGTCATTATTGTCTATTCTATACTTCGATAATTCAAATCCTCACAATTCAATGTATAATCTTATCTAAACTTTTTCATTCTTTCCCTTATACTTTCAATCATACATTCATTTCTCTTTTATTATTTCCTTCTTAATTTTAATTTCAAATACAAACTTTTTACTAATCTCAAATATAGAAGCAATTCACTCCATAAGAATGTTTAATCTCTCTATCTCTTTTTATTTCTATTAAACAATGTATATAATTTTATTCCTTCATGGGTCCTTACTTTTATTTAAAAATCAATATTTTTTTATTAATTTGCTTCCATTATAGCTTTCTTTTATAGATTTCTTGTTTTTAATACTTATAAAAACCTATCAGAACGTGAGACTTCCATTTCATACTTATTTACTTTCTTAACTGCTTCTATCTTATTTTAATTTACAATAAATTAAGGCATTCTTCGAATCTCATCACTCATTTCTATTCTTTCATGATTACTTGAAATTCTTATTAATTTCTTAAAAGAATCTGTTTATCCATAATAAATCATAAATTTAATGTCTGTTTATTTACGAGCTACAAATGCTAAATTTAGTTTCTCTTCTCCATTATGTCTTACAGTCCAAGTTCTATTTCTTATAACTTGATCACAATTAAATTTTGTAGGAAATGGAGAATTAAAAGATATCATAATCTAAAATTCTCCATCACAATAAACTGTACAATTCAAAGGAGATTTTTAACCTTTTATTAGTATATTACAATAATAGAATTCCATTGGTGTCACTTTATAAATCTTCCCAGAAATTAAGGTGCCACCTAATTAACATTCTGAACGAATATTAGGTTCAGTTGTTGTTTATTTTAATGAATAACGAAGACTTTTTAATTCTTCTACACTTTCAAGTATCATCCATGAACGCTAAAACTTCTCTGATGTCTCTTCCAATATACGAGATTAATCAAATACACCAGAACCACTTGTCTATGATCTATAATGTGATATTGATGGTGAATTAAGCTGATTGGCTGGTCTCAGTAATGATTTCTTCATTATATAAATATTATTTATTTTTCACAAATTTTTTAGTAGTTTCTCATTTATTTTATTATTATTATCCCATCTATTTATTACTTAACTTAATTATATATCATCATTTTCAATACTCTAACAACTATTATAATGTATAAAATGATACTTATAACACAATTAAAAATATATTTGTATTTTACACTACCCTCTCCTTCTAGTTGAAATTGAATCAATCTTTTAATAACTTCATTATTTCATAAACAATTTCCAATCTCCAATCTCAAATAAAGTAATATATTACTTTATCTAAAGCATATATAATCTCATTTTAAAAACAAAGAATTAAAAAGTAAAATTACCATCTCTAAAAGTTTTAAGTACAATGTACTAAATTAATAGTATTAAAATTAACCCGTACTCTTTCTATTGGATCAGAGCAAGAAAATTTAAGGATTCTGATAATTTATTTGGAAAATTATGATTCACAATTTATTCAACAAATAATAAATAAACAAAATTCAATTTATATATTGTATTTTTTAAGGATTAATAATAGTTGACATGTTTAAACTCTTAAATCAAAATGTAAATGATTGTAACTAGAATTACACCTACACCAACTTTATTAGGATATGGATTTTTACACATCAATAATGAAGATTTTTTAGATAGTGTTTTACAAGTCAGAAGAAGCTATAAAAAAATAACAAAACCATTATTATTTGGAATCAATAAATACCAGAATAATGTAAATAATTAATATAAAAGAAATATTTTTTTGTTATGATAATAATTAGGATAGATCTTTAAAGATTTAAGGTTAAAATTTATATTAAGTTGTTAGTAATTTGAATTGTTTAAGACATGAAAGGATACAAAGTTTAAATTGCTTTTAAGTAATTTAGTAAGTTTACAAATTATTTTACACTAGGTTCAAATGATAATAGATTAATATTATATAAGAGTAGATTTCTGAAAATGAATGAGGTAAATGTAAAATGATTAATATTCATCATAAATATAATGTTTATTTAAAATGGAGAGGGGGATAAAATTACTTAAAAAAGAAGAAGAGTTAATAGATTATGACTTCGGATTTTGAAATAATTACTATAAGATATATAAATAAAACGTAATTATCCAGTGTATCGATTATAATTTTAAAGTAAAAACATAATTAAGAAATAAAAAGAATATTAAAATTTTTTTTATTATTTCAAGAATAAATATAATAATAATTTTAATTGAGGGATAGTTATAATTTTAATATTGTATAGTATAATAAATTAAGATTCTTACTAATGCAGAAGACCTCTCAAACTTTCAGATCATTGCCTTAACCAGAAATGTTAATTTTTCATTGTTAAAAATGATAATCAATATTTATACAAAAACAATAGTTAATGGTTTGAGTAGGGAAAAGAAAATCAATATTTGGAATAAGGGACAAATAGGCAATGAACTATTTTTAAATAATTCATTTAATCAACTCAGATACATTTGCATTCTTATGGATTTTCAGAAGATTATTTTAGTTTTTTAACTTTAGAATTTATGAGTATAGTGAATACAAGTAAGAAAAATCAAATATATATTACTTTTTGATTGTTTTCAATAAAAAGAAATAGTTTTATACAGAAAAAATAAATTATAAATCTATTTCGACCTGATCCACTTAATATCATAAAAACCAATTTATTGAATTTTGAGGTCATTAGAATACTTAGTATTTTATTGATAAAGATCTTAATACATAAACGTAAATCTTAATTATTCCTGAAGAATATGCATTTAATATCATAAATTTTATATTCTTTCAAAGTTAACATTAACAATGATCCTTAAAATTTGAATTTAGTCATTGATATGTCATTTTAATCTCGGAATAAAATAAAGAATAATAAAAAAATCAAATGAATAAAACATAAAATTATGTGAACTTTTTATATATGATGCAAGCAAATCCATTTTCTATGATTAATATCTGCAGCAATACAATAGTAAATATTTTAATGAAAAGAAGCCCTTATAAATTATTATTGTCTCTAAGTAAAATTTAATGCTTTTTTTAGAGGTTAATTTTAATTTAATTGTATTTTAATTATTAATTTCAATATTTTTATTGGGAAAACAAAAGGATTAATCTACTAGATTATAAAGATTGTCGAATTAATAACTATTCATTTTAAATCGGAAAAAGAGAATTTTGTTTGAATGTAAAGATAAATTAGAATAATATGAGTAAATCTATCTTTAGATTAATAAGTTGTTTAGATTTTAGCATTTTAACATTTTTTATTGAAAGTTGACAGAATATAATTTTTATTGTGAAAATAACAATCTTATAGCTTCAAAATGAATAATGAAATATATTTATATTTCTTTTATAAATGTATTGCTAAATTATAAAAAATAAAAGATGTTTCAATTTTGATATTTTTAAATAAAATTTTATTTAACAATGTAATCTAATGGATAAAAGTCACAAATTATTAAAAGAACAAGTTTTTTGAACTCCTCTTCCACTTTAAATACTATTAATAGAAGCAATTCTATAGTTTAAGATAACAATTAAAAATAGGAATTAAGAAGGTAATTAATATATTCTTATTCATCTTTTTAGATATCCAACGTAATGGACTGAATAGTTGGACAATAAATCTGATAATCGATTTCATTAAAGTATAATGAATAAAAGCAGAGAAGATTGCAATCCTAATTTAGCTTAACCTAGTAAAATATTTGGAATTTAAGATGGGTAATTAATAAAATAATTTAAAGTAAAAATCCAAGTAGATTTCATACAATCAATACAGCCAATGAAGATCTCTTGACATCTATTAAGAAAAGAAATCAATCTTTAGGAAAAATAGGAAGCTGGTAATAGACTTCTAAATAGATTGAATCTTAATGGATTTCTAAATCAAATACTGGCATAACATTATCTAGAAGATTAGATGCTTAAGTGTCTCTTTCTGAGTTATTAGAGATATCAAGACAATTAGATTGTTCATAATAAGATGAAATAAAACAATTATCAGGAAATTATGTAAGTTAACTTTTCTAATTATCTTAAACAATTGAAAAAGTATAATTGATTTATATTGTATATTTAAAATGCTATTATTTAAAATAGAAACAAAAAATAAATAGTTATTATTGTTCTTCGTAAAGTAAAGAGATGACTTATTTTAATTATTTATTTATGATATATTAATTCTTCTATAAAAGTAATTAGTATCTATAATATCATTTTAGATTGGACAATTGCATTAAAGCTTTGTCTTTCTAGATCTTTGCAGAATTCTTATTATGTGTAGATATTGATTGATTTCTCATAATTTTCTATTTAATTTTAATTCCAGTTGCTATATATTTTTGTTCATCTAAATCTCCTAATAGACGCTCAGGATATTTAGTTGGACTAAATCTACTTTAAGGTGTCATTGATTAAGTAAATGCAATAATAGTTTTAATAATTTCAGTAGATCTTTACTCATTATGATTACTTTGCAATGCAATAATTTTCTTATTACCAAGATATCCCTTGAATATTGTATCAAAATGATATTAAGGAATTAAATTATCTTATTTTGATGCTAACAATAACATTGGACAAGTAATATTCAAATTTAAAGGTAATTAGACTTTATTAATTTAAAATTAGAATAATTTAACAATGCATCCTAGAATATTAAATATTATATACTTCTAATCAACTCATATAATCCTTTATTTATTATTTCTGGAGTGTGGAGTTTCAATTTTATTAAATTTAGTACTACATCCTCTAAAACTAAAAAAGGACTATCTAAAACCAAACATTTTATATTTCTATTCTTCTAAGCATACATTAATGCTGTAGATGCACCCATTGATCTTCCCCATAAAATTATATGAAAATATTTCTCTTTCAAATATTTCATCACTAAAGCTACATTCTCTTCCTCTTTTAAACTTCATCAAAATAACTAATTACCCAAAAGTTACAAACTCTCCCTCTGATTATCCAGCTGCCTAAAAGTCAAATGAACAAAAATCAAAATCCACTTTGCATACATATGGAGCATATTAAACACCTTCTAATCTTGATCCATTATAACCATGTAAATATAAAATACATGATTGTGTATATTTATTGCATTTATAAACAGAACATTATAATCCTTCCAATTAGAAATCTTATCTTGGATAACCACATTCTAAATCTGATTTATTATACATTACACGCTTTGGTTACATTATTTACCTACAATAACCATCAAACATTTTATTTTAATACTTCCAAATATTATGTAATTATTTATATACCTTTTATAACAAAATATTTATATATACACATTTCAATAATCAATTATGTATTATAAATCATTTTATCTATCACAATATCTATATTATTATCCTTTAAATATATTTTTTCATTTTTATTTTACTTACCAAAAAATACATATTACTAAACTTTTCAATATTAACATCACTTTATGAAAGTATTAAAGCTAATAATAAACATTTTTTTCATTTTATTAGCCTAAGACAAAAGCTCTACTGTTTTATTAACTTTTTTGAAGCTTTATTGTAATACTACTTTTGATCTTTTTTAAATTCTATTCTTTTTATTTTTATTTGCCTAAAATGTTGTAAAAAATGTAATCATTAAATTAATAATCTTTTTATCAAGATCTCTATTAAAACATTTGAAATAATTTCATTTTTAGATTAATCAAAAGATCAAGAAAAATCCAATATAATTTGTTTAATTTTACTATTAATGTATTTTTCAGCAAAAATAATTACATTTTTAAATAATTATACATTTTGAAAATTCTTATTCTAATGAAGTCATATTGAATATTATCCTTTGCTTTTACAATTTCTGGTAAATTATTTTTAAAATATAATTTTTCAGATTTTAAAATTAATTACAACAAACTATATGTTATAATAACCCAAACAATTTTCTTTATATTTTTTTTGAAAATCTTTCCTTATAAATTATATAAGTATTTCTCTTTTTATTGATTTTATTGATGAAAATGAAATTGAAGATTTGTACACTAATCTTTACATATTGTTATAATTTAAACAAAATATCTCATAAATTGTAACTTGACTGCATTCTTTTGAATCCTTATTCATGACTTATTTTTAAATAGGATTTTAATAAAAAAGATATCGATTTCATTGAATTACTTATAATTACTCAATTTTAATAAGAAATTATTATCAATCATTAGTTAATTTTAAATAAATAAGATATTATGAAAATTTCTCTAATTTTACAAAAAAGCTGTCTACTGATTGATAGAATAAAATCAAATATTATCTTAGATGTGTATTTACGTGAAAACAACATTATCTTTGTTATTATTTGATAAAAAGATATCTTAAGGAAGTAGAAATATAAAAAATAGAAGTAATATTATTTTTTTATGAAATTTTAATAATAATCGTTTCTAATATTTATTTGAAGCTCTATTAAATAGAAATTATATAAAATGTTAAAAAATAATAAGAATGAAAATGTTCTGAGAATGATTGAATCTGTTGTTATTTTATTTATGTAGTGAAGTGAGCAATCAAAATTAAATAATTTTTAATTGAGAATTCAAAATTCAAAAGAGAGAGTTTGAATGAATATAGGGATTTAAGTAATAATTGGATAGAAATTTGAATATTAATTAAAAATAAATAAATTAGGAATGAAAGAGTTAAACAAATTAGAATGCATACACTAAAAAATGAATGATTATCGCCTTAAAAATTTCTATCAATTAAATAAATTCATAAATAAATGAAAAAGACTATTTAAGGAGAAGATGATAATGCAAGTGATTACAAAAAACAAATAAAATGGTGTTTAAGATGACTTGATTAATGAATGAAAAAAAAATTGGTATTAGTAAAAAAACAGTGAGAACTATATAGAAAATAAGAAATAAATAGATTGAATGAAATCGTTTGATAAATATTGAATAAATATATAATATGGATTAATAGATAATAGTCATAGGTATAATAAATTTAGCAATTGAGTTTTTAAATAGAATTTCAGAAGATATATCAATAGTTTAATTTTATTATCAACTATCAGTAAAGTGAAATGATTATTCTTAATTGCTTAATAAAATCTAGAAATAATTTACTGATAAGGCGATTTAAATTTTAATTAAGCAAAGAGAATGAGATAAAAAATATAAGAACGAATATGCATTTTTAAAGAGGAGTTATATAAAGTTAAGGAGGAGATTTTTGATGATTTTATGTTAATGTTTGAGGTAGCAGACTAGAATATTTGAGGAAGCTTACTAAAATAAAATATAGAGGATTTAAATAATAAAGATAAGAATTTAAGAGAAGAATATGAATAAATCTTATTTAAAGATAAATATGTAGGATGTAATTATAAGTTCAGTGATTGGATACAAATGATATTGAATACTAAAATTAGAAATGAATATTAAACTACAAATTAATAAGGAAGAACCTATAATAATCAAATTAATTAGGGTTTTGATAGATAGAGAATTCATTTCAAGGTATTAAGTAGAATAAACATATTTAGAGATATCAAAGACTTTATTATATATTGAAAAAGTAGAGATTTGGAAAGTATCTAATAAAGCTTTAAGTTATGATCTCTGTAAATATTTATGATTATGTCAATAAAGGAATAATTAATCCAAGAAGATTTTCTTAAATTTGATAAGTATTTCTTAAAACTCAAATTATTAATTATTTATAGAATATGATAAAAAGATTAAAGGAAGAAGTTTTGATATTTAGAGAAATATAAATCTTTAAGACTCATATATAGATTGAAAATAAATAAATAGTTTAAACAAAAATTAATCTTCTAGTATATGTTATTAATAAGTGAAGAATTTTAATTGATTTCATTTCTAAAAATATAGAATCGGTATCTCAATTGTCACCCTAATATTAAGATGATTAAATTAGAATTAAAGCAATTAAATAATAAAATAAGGTTTGAATTCCTTAAAGACTGTGGTGTTGGATGGTAATAACAATTTCTATCCATCTATCTATAATAGTTCTGTATCTCTAATATCATAAAGTTTATAACCAACTTTATAGATCAATCCTAAAAATGGATTGGGATTCATTGTACCAACCTATTAAATTATATTATTTTTATAAGATACACTGATATCAACTTGAGAATTAAATGGTCACTTCGAATACATTGATCAAAATCTTATCAAATTTTATATAATGTTATTTGAAATTCAATTATCATTTATCTATATAATTGCATAATATTTTTTCAAATGAAATTAATCTCAACTTTGGTTATACAAAGTAGCCAGAGTTATTAAATCACTAATATATTGAATGATACTGTCTAAATATTTCACTCTATGTTGGTTGGCGATATATGATAATCAATTTAATCTATCTAAGTTTACAATTCTATATACATATTTTAAGCAATTTACAATTAATCACTTACACAAAAACAGCCATTCAAGTACTAAAAATAATAAATATAAGATCACATCAAAAATATTCAAGAGTTGCCATTATATGTGGATTATGATGTTTAAATCTTATATTATTTGTAATCAATAAACAATGTCGAAATTTAAGAACTATTATTCTATGATTAACTAAATCTTTTGCTGAAGATGAATAATAACTACCTCTTAATGAATTTAGATTGCCTATGCTTGAATTAGACAACAACAAAAAGTAGAATTCTATTTCATTAATATATTCAATGCTGAATGTAATATAGAATCATAATGAGTTCAGTATTTTGTTATTATTTATTAAGAATTATAACTATTTCAATGTTCGAATGAATACTTCATTCCAAATGATGTCGAGTATCTCGAACTATGGAGATTTAGAAAAATAGATTTTAAGTATATATTAATTAGTAGCCATAACTAACATACATCTCAAAGACACTAATTTAAAAGGATGTAAAAATTGAACCAAAAATAATAAAGAATTATATTCGGAAGCATATATGAAAATTGAGCTGAAGAATTATTTTATAAATTAATACCTTTGAAATGTTCGGCTCCATATTTGTAAATTTTCAAAAATAATGATAATTTTTATTTTGATATATCTAAATAAGATAAATGGACAAATATAAAAATAGATTACACAAAATCTTTTATTATTTAATATATTTATAAATTAAATTAGCTGTCTAAATAAGTGAAGATGTTCAAATAGACAAAAGGAAATGAAGGTTTCAAACTTCCAAGAATAGAGAAGACCCATACTTATGTTCTTTAGTCTAATCGAGATTCAATTGATTTCCTTTTAGGGAAAAATAAAAACGATATTGCTCCTTTATTAAGGCCAGAGAAGAAATTAACAACAGAATTGCTTACAAACAGACTTGCTCGTCGTGGTAGTCAAATTCTGGATAATTCTTCGTAGGTGTTTATGCCTATACAATAAACTTAGAGAAAGATCAGTCAAATGGAGTGTAAATATGATATTCAGAATTTTTTTACTCTGGAACCAACACAAGAGATCAAAAAGCCAATAGTTGTTACTAAAATAAATCGTGTGCCGAAGCATTACCGCTTGCAAAATTTCACTGATTGGGTAGAGAAGTTATATGGTTAAGATTGGTTCAATGATTAAATATGATCAAACAATGTTTCTTAAATCTTGACTTAACCTATTGAATGGCATATTCTATCAAATAATCCTTGTTTTAGAATCATCATCTTTTATTCATTGCTTATCTTATTAACTTTATGATTATAAGTAGTGAAATGATTCCTTTTTTTAAAACTTCCAAAATCATTTTTAATCATAGGAATCTAATTTACTATAATGCAATATATCTTCCATTTTATAAACCCTTCCAATAATAATAAGAATATCCATGATACTTTATTAATCGATAAAAATGCTTTCATTTATTCATTATTTAATTTAAAAAGACAATATGTCTATCAAACTAATTTTTATGTATTATGTAAGATTAATTATTGAGATGGTTTAAATATTTGTACTTTTGTAATAGAATTGATCCAAATATATAATAACTATCGTCAATGTCCAAATTTACATATGTAATATTTGTTATCTAAAGAGAATCGAAATAAGAATGTACTAATCGATATAGCAAATAAGTTAGCAAATCAAAAAAGATTGATTTAAATATCTATTTAAAGGTACAACAATTTCATTCAGCTTAGACCTCATTATTTTAATTGAAAATAATACTATCCATAGAAAGTGAATATCCAATTTAGGAGTAGATATTTGCTTATCTATATTTTATTTAATTGATACCTTGATGCTCAGATATTTTAATCATGTAAATCTACTACTATGGCAATATCAATTGAATTAATTCAATTACATTTAGTATTTTCTAACATTATTTTTTTAAGTTTGATATCTCCCTATATTATGAGATACAAATATAAATTTAATTATATACCATTTACTAATCAATCTGAGATGATGTTCTGTTATCTGATAAATTGAATTACATTCATCAATTGTTCTTTTTTAAATGTGAAATTCTAAAATACTTTAATTGCCAATCTATACTCTATTTTCAACTATAAAAATTTTCTTATTCTATACATTATGAATAAATGATAGAACCCAAACAAATTTAGTTGCTTATCTAAAAACCATCCTCATTATGTTATTATCAAGTTATGTATAAGTAATTACTGTTTGTTATATTGATTTATAAATAACAACACTTTTATTCGATCATCCAATTTCTAAATATTATCATTTTTAATCCAATCTTGATTAGTATCATTAAACATGTTGATTAATGAAAATCTTAGCCTTATTTGAGGTACATTTTATAACTATCTCAAATTTTAGATAAATATTATACTAATATATTACAATGAATTCGGTCCTTTTAGTTAATCTCTCCTAAGAAAACTTAAAGAATATGAACAGATTATTTATTTCGATCATTTGGAGTGAATTTTCTTTTCTGAGGAATTTTGATACACTCAAATGTTTTACATCATTTGTGTTAGAGGCTCAACAATTTGTTTTTCATTAATATGATAGATTATTTTATCATATTCCTTTTTGTTCAATCCATACAAACTCAATACATATTGGATTAACTGCAAGTACTCAACAACGAATTCAATTAAAAGCTTGAAATCAATCCACTATTCAAGAGAAATTGTCTCAATGATCGAGAACGTCTATGTAAATTCTATTCAGATTCCTTATCACCATAAAGTGATCAAATTTAATCTATAGTACTTCTCAATTCATTATTTAGGCAAATGAATACCTTTCATACTTTGAAAATGAAGACCTTGAAGAATACCAAAGACTTATCAATCAAATCATTACGTAATATGTTTATAGGCAAGATGAATATTAAACATATGCACTCATCTTTCATAGTTTAACAGATATTGTATCACATTAACTTAATATTTCTATTGGTATTAATACGAAAGAAAGAGAAATCATACCTATTTAAGATAATTAAACTTAATTATATGACATTCTCATTAATTTTGAAAATCTTTACCTTTCCAAAGATGGCAAATATATTTACACTTTAGAAGAAGAAGGTTTCATCTATTTCAATTCCTCAGTCAATCTTGGAACTATTAAAATGAATTCAACATCTGTTTTAGCAAGTTATTTCAATAAAAAAAAGAGACTTTTTAAAACTCGATCTATGGTTGAATTATTTGGAGCTGGAACAGAAATAACTAAAATAAATATTGGTGCTCATTCATAAATAGCTTATATAACATTTATAATTTAAGCACCACCTTTATCTCCTTAAGTCATAAAAAATAAAATACATTTAGCACTTCAATAGAGATTTAGATAACTTCATCTAATTAAAAATGATTTCTTAGAATAATTTATTAAATATTATATTCCAAAATATATGTTGCCATAATTACATACCATAATTTAGAATATGAAGGATAGCAAACAATATTAAATAAAACATGAACAATTATAATTCATAATAGATGAATTGAAAAATTAAAATTAATAAAAATTAATTGAACTTGATTAATTGATTCAATAACTTTTATAATGATACTCAATTTACATCTAATGATTAACTTTTCTTTAAAAATCCCATTTTTGGTGCTTAAACATTTAACTAATTTAATTATTTAGTAATGCTAGATTATTCATCATCAATCACATAATCATCATCTTTACTCTTCTACTTTTATTGATAGCTGTTTTTTAATGCAAATTTATGCAGATCTTAATTGTTTTTCTTTCTTGCAGAGATTACAGTATTTGGAGATAATCCTTCCTACTTCATCTAAGAACAAAACTAACTAAATTTAGAAAGATTAGTCTATTATTTATCAGCTTTATTATTAGAACTTTAATTTGAACAATTAGATAATGATCCAATAGTATCTGTCTAACCATTCCATTATTATTATTTACTCATTAATAACATAGAGCCTTCTTGACTTTCTTAAGAACTATAAATAAATGAATAATTTTATACTTCTTTCTTAATAAAGTAGATTTATATTCTAATTCATATTTTGAAAAATTTTCCTTGGTGTCTAATAAATCGTCTTCGTTAAAAATTTCTTAAAAATATTGATGTTTTAAGCATTCCGCAGTAGAATATCTATCAATAGGATCAACTTTTAGCATTTTCTTTAATAAACTCTTCAAATGTTAAGGACCCTTAATAATATAAAAAAAGTACATACTTTAGATATTTGTTTAATATCATAATTAATTTGACAGCCCTTATTTGATTGTAATATTTCTTTATAATCGGATCCTCCAAATGGTTAAATACCAGTCATCATTAAATAAAATATAATACCTGCACTAAAGACATCGCATTTTTCATTATAAAATGGACCATAATCATTATATTTCAAAATTTCAGGTGCCACAAATCCTGGAGTACCACATCTTTTATAAAGTGGTTATTAATCCATTATATGTGCTAATCCAAAATCTGCTATTACAATATCTGTATCACTATCTTTAGTTTTTAATAATAAATTTTCTGGTTTCAAATCTCTATGCATACACTTTTTTGAATGCATATGATATAAGGCTTTTAATAAGTTGTACATCAATAGTTAAATTTTCTATGCTGAATATATTATAGTTTAAGCTCTCTTCAATAGTTCGCCTCCTTCTAATAAATCCAAAATAAAATAAATAGAGTTTTGAGTTTCATGCACTTCATGTAAATGCAGAATATTTTCCTAATTTAGTCTCCTCATTACTCTAATCTCATTCTCTAAACCTTCTCTACCTCTAAATTATCCATGAATAAAGAGTTTACTAAAAGCTTTGACTGCATACTGAACTCCATTCGTATTTCTTGTTGCCAAATACACATTCGCAAAACTTCCTTTACCAATCATTTTAAGAACAGTAAAATCATTATGGAAAGTTGTTTACATACATTTAGAAATTAAGACCTTTTTCAATTGATCTATGTTGTCTAGAAATATATCCACATACTGGCCATTTCTCTGTAATCTAATTATCTCCTTATCATCAAATCTTTTCAATAACATTAAAGTAACTGTTAATTACAGCATTCCTTAAGGTTATTAGTTTTTGAAAACATATAAAGTTTCCTAACCAATTTAAAGATTAAATGGCTTTAATTGTTTATGAGTTCTACTAAGTCGACTGCATTCAATCTCATATTCTATAATATCATTCTAAACATATGTTTATATATTTTACTTTATATTGATTCTTGCAAAACTTCGTCCAAATTTTGCTTTTTTATTAATCTTTGTTATCAAAAAAAGAGTGAATTTCACTAGTCATTATACAAAAAGAATTAATTAATTATATTAATTTGATTAAATTAACTTAGTTAGCTATCTATATTCGACTCTTTAAAGTAGGAAATCAAGATTTGAATCTTTATACTATATATAAAATATATAATAATATACGAAAAAATAATAATTTTAGTGTAATTATGTAAATAATATCTTAAACCTTTCTGAATTTTCTAGATTTTTTTATCTTATTAATATTTTATTACTTATTAGTATTCATTTTACAATTCTTTCATTTTCTCATATTTATTGTTAATATATTAAATTCTATATTCAAACATCCAATTATTATAAAAATCAATTAATCTCTATCAATTCTTTTCTTAAAGCAATTCCAAAACCTTCAATCTTTTTATGAATATTTTTCTCTAAAATTTACAATTTGGGCAACTTTTTATGATAAATAATTTGTTGCATATTTTTTTAAATTTTAATTCACCCTAAACTATTGGGCATTAACATTTTTTACAATGAGTATGCTTTAGTTATGGAGTCAATCTTATTGGTACCTTCTCAGCAATCTTTTGCATTTACTGCTTCATGAATTAAGCATATTCTATATTCGACTCTTAAAATAATAGTGAAGCCTAATAAAGATAATTTAGTCTGAAATAAGCATCATTATCCTTCCTTTTATGAATATCCTCTGAAGTTATGACATATTAAACCATCGCTATGGAAATAATTTATAAATTTATATATTTCTATATTTATTATTAATTTAGAATAAATATATAAGTAATTTAAATTGACTTAGAATTTATGAAAAATAAGATCGTTTGTAGGATTAATTTATTGTTAACACTCATATTAACTTAAAAAAATAAATTATACATTATTATGTTTTGTTAAAAGAAGTATCATGATATTTGTTGATTATTATTTTTTCAATAGGATATGCTAGATCATATTAAAAATAACCAGATTAATTATTAATTTTTAAAAAGGTTTCGTATTTTTTTAAGAAAATTAAGCTGAATGTATTAATTTAAGATTTCATCATAATCTGGCTTATTTTGTATAAACATAATTAATGTATCAATTGTTGTAAATCTTTAAGTATAGAAAAACCAAAAGTTTTACAGCTAATTGTCTTTCATGTAACGATAGTAAAGTGTACGGAATTGATAAATTATAGGATAATTAGACAAATGTAAAACAAAAATACTTAGAATTCGAATATTTTTATTTTAGAAATTTTAATGAAAAAAGAACTTCGTTTTTAATTAAATAAAAAAAAGATGAATTTTGATAAATTTTATTTTTAACAGTTGTGAAATTTACAATAGTTTACGTAAATAATAAATTCTAACTTCTTCGGAAATATTTGAAATGAAAAAGTAGGATCAAAGATTAAAGAAATGATGGAGGGTTCATTTTTTTTTGAAAAACTTAAAAGATGAATTTATATTATTTGTAGAAAAACAATGTTTTATTTTTGAATAAGTGATTATTGAAGTTAAGTAGAAGTTATATTTAATTGTAAAAGATAATTGAATAGTAAATAGAGTAATAGTAAGAATGAGATAGATTAAATAAGAAATAATTAAAGATTTTGATATCATGATTATAATTCAACCATTTCATAAGCACAGGATCCAGTAGTGGCAATATCTAATCCTTCATTTTCTTCTTCAAGAGTAACTCTGAGGAATCCAATTTTTTCAATAAATAGAAGTGTTATTAAATGTATAAGTGCTGACCATCCAATATAAATAAAGGATCCAAGCATTTAGACAGCAAATTAATAACCTCCTTTTCCATAAACAATTCCTGTATCCATATCAAACCAAGAAACAAGATTGGCTCCTAACATTCCACAGGCCTTGATAATATATAAGTATTGGTATTTACAAAATGAATAGATATAGCATCAACAGGATCATCAATTTATAGATTGAATAACACTCTATTAGCAAAGACCATCATAATTCCTCCAAGTATTCCAATAACAAATGCTGCCCACGCATCAACATTATCACAAGGTCTATTATAATAGATACTTATATATATACCCAGTAATAGCAACTAAGCCGGCTAGATTACCATTACAAATCATGACTAATGAATATCTATTTGTTTAATCAATATTCATCAAATAGAATATAAAGAATACAGTTAATGCTCCAGATGCTCCCGCAATAAAAGTATTCATAATAGCTCTACTCATAAAAACACTTGCACCATTAGCAATACCTAGAGATGATCCACCATTAAAGAAACACCAACATACCCATAAAGATAGACATGCTAATGTAATATAGATTGGATTATTAGGTTCAAAATGTTCTGCATATTTTGGATTAAATCTTTGATTTCTAGGTTTTAAAATCATAGTTGTCATTAAAGCACCCATACCAGCAGAAGCATGAATAGTACCACTACCAGCATAATCATGATATCCTAATTCCATTAACCATCCATGTCCAAACCCCCAATGTGCACAAAATGGATATATAACTGATGAAAACACTACAGATAATATAAAATATCCAATATATGTCATACGACCAGCAGCACCTCCTGATACTATACTTGTTGCAGCTGATGCTACTGCTGTTTGAAATGCAAACTCTCCTAAGTGTTTAGAATGTTTCATATCAAATCCAACATAAACAGATGATCCAACGAATTCTTTTGAATCACTTCCAAATGCTATTCCATAACCAACAACCCACCATATTACTATTGTTACACAAGTGTTCATGAATATTTTTATCATTATACTCTACATATCCTTATATCTAAGACATCCACCTTCTAAAAATGCAAATCCAACTTACATCAATAAAACAAATGCTGCACATATACATAAATATCCCTATTACTATTATTATGATATTTTACTATATCTATAGATTCTTTCAATTATTCCATACGTTCAATTGCTTATCCTAACTCCGTCATTCAATTATTATATTTATTAAAAAAATAAGTCAATTTCAATTTTATTTCTTCTCCAATATCTTCTGTATCAATTTCTATTTCCAATATCTATCTTATAAAATTGGATCTGGTACTTTCTTAGCAAATGAACTATAAATATATATTTAATTATTTTACTTTTTAAAAGTCGTTTTAAATTGTCCATCATAACTCCCATAACCTTATTAATGATTACTATTTTATTTTCGAGGTGCTTATTCTTCAATTTAATAACTTGGATAGTGAATCTTAGATAAAGCTTCTTTAAAAATCATTGAACTTCCAGATGCAAAAGGACCTCTTTAAATATATATATTGATTACAATGATCTCTTCTTAGCTGATTCCATTGGTTCACAATTATTTACTTTATAATTCTCTTAATACGATGTCTTCCCTATAAATGGCAATGCACCAGTACTCTATCCTCTTTAAGGTCCAACTCTTTCTGTCAGACATGGTTTCCAATTCATATAATTCTATTTATAACTAGTCAGAGTCAACATCTCAGCATTATCCTTTGTATAACCAGGCTTGTAGTTCTCCTACTATTGAATCTTTGGTGTACGATAAGAATTCTACTTATATTTAGAACTCCATACTTCATATTGCGTTTGTAACTGAAGAGATTAACCAACTGGAATCTAGTCATACATCTTTATATTAAAATTTGATTTATCAACTCCTTTTACTTTCTTGTATACTTATTCATATGTTGTCTATTTCTTCTAAGGTAAAGACACTTTTATCTCTTACATTCTATTCTGTTATCTCTCTTACATGTACAAACCAATCAAATTTACAAAATACTCTTAATTATCCATTATCAACCTCTCCAAGTTGAAGTTTTCATCTTATTAAATTTCTAAAGGAATCAACTCTAACCAAATTGGGTCATCTAATGGTAACAAATCCAATATAGAATTCGTCTATGTTTTTACACTATCTGAAGGAGTAGGTGTTGTTGTTCGAGAGTATACTGTATTACCACCTTGACATTGTCCTATATGTTGAGATCTAACCAACTTTTCATTAGGTTCTACTATTTCCCCCTTTTTGTTTTTGTATACCACTCTTTTCTTCCCCTTGCTCTCATATCTACTGTAACTCTTTAAAGATCCTTCTGTTGGTGATCGAACCAAAAGGCTTTACTGACATGGCTACAATAAACCTTGCATTATTATTAATTAACATTAAATAGAACATTGTTTAATTAACACATATTTATTTCATTATTATCACCCATTCACATTTCTCACCTCTTTTCATATTATCGCTTGTCTTCATAATTTATTTTTATCTTCCTCTTCACATTTAACCAGCTCTCATTTTAAATTGTGTGTTCCATTTCCCAACTCATTTACTAGATCCAAGTCTTTGAAAAAAATTGAAACAACTTTCTTCATCACACATCATTTATCTATATTTCAAAAAAAAACTGATTTCTTTTACTTATAGTTGAAATTTCTACTTATGTAATGTTTTTGTCTTCTTTTTAGTTAATTTTAGATAGGAGTGACTGAAAATAGATACTTTACTGTAGCATCCAATTTATAAAAACTTATTAGATGGGAATTCACCTATAGATAATTAAATAGATAGTTATTATTTTCTTCATTTTCCAATCAACCTTTTAAAAATAAATCCCTATCATAATGATTTTCTTGACAAAAGACAGCCATTTTCTTGACAAACAACAGCTGAAATTTTAAGCATTTTTATTAAATGTCAAAATTGAGATTGCTTTGACGTACTTCATAAATTATATCATCAATAAGAAATTAAAGGTTTATCTCGATTGAGAAATTCTCACTGTAAAATGATTTCATTTTGCTTAAAAATAAAGAACTTGTACTTATACTATATTATATAGTTAGTTAAAGATTTAAATTGGTTCTTTTACAGTGAGATATTATGAGATAATGAATTTATTAGTAATTTGGATGAGTGGATTGTATGTTTTGATGATATAATAGTTTTTATTTGAGGTTGTAGGATTGTTCAATATTAGTTATATGAGAAGAGGTAGAGTTTTAATCTTATGAACTTGTTGTGAATATTTGAGTTTTTGTTTTTAGATATTAAGAATTATAATGAATTAACAAAAGCATTTCAAATTCATACTCTAATATCTAGAATTCAGTTCAAAATCAGATCAACAGTAGTACGAATTAACGATTTTGTTAAAACGTAGTACAGGTGCAGCACAATAGGTGGTTGGGAAATTACCAATAAAGAATCCAGAAAAGACAATTACAATTTGTCGTCTTCCAATAGATTAGGTTGTTGAGTTTTAATAACGGATGATAAAAAAGGATGGGATTTATGCTGATTATAATGTATAATCTTTAGTTATAGTTAGATAAAATTCCTTTTCTATTTAGCTGGTAATCAATTGGTTGGTGATTGTGTAATCAATTTAGCTTACTTTTTAGATGGTGGAGCAACTCAAGATCAAAAATAGAAAAAACCATTAACTTCTACAACAGATAAGAGAGCAGCTTTATTATTTAAAGTAATTAAGGATTCAATGTTGGAATCTTAAGAAATTCCAATTTCAGAAATTCCTGCTCCAGTTTTAGGACCTGTTTCTCAAGCTTAAACAACACGATCATCAAGTTTTTTAAAGACTGAATCTAGATCAACAAGAGCTCGTAGTCAATCTCCCCCTAAAGAGTTTAAGACTACAATCATGGTCAGTAAAGCTAATGAATAACCAACTTAAGCAACTCTTTCATAATCCTAATTCTAATAATCATAATAGTTCTAATCATTATAATAATAACAACAAACATAGTAGTAGTAATAGTAATAGTAATAGTAATAGCAATAGGATAATCTTACCTAAAAGTTTGTTTAATTAGGTGAGAAATTTCAATAATAAAAATTGCAATAGAATACACAACCACCCTGTTCTCCACCTCCTTAAGAATATGATAATTTTAAAGAAATCACTGATCTTCTTTCTTAATAAGAAGCTGAATTAGAAAAATAAATTGAATAACTTGATATTCATATAAGATCTGATGGGAAGTTTAAAAAGATTTTCGATGATTCTACATTCAACAATTTTGACGTTAGCTCTTATGATTCTGAAATCTAATAATGGAAATAAAAGTGTGCAGAACTTGAAGATAAATTTAATAAAATTTAAGATGAGAATTAACACTTGACTGTAATTATCAGACAATAAAGTGAGTAATTAAAAAAAATGAATCAGAAATCTCAATCTGGTTATAGGTAATTAAATGATAATAATCTCAATTAATCTATTTCATCTAATAATAATAATAATAATCAAGAATAGTATGAGAAAACTATTGAGAAGAAAAACTAAATCATTAAAGAATTATCTAATTAAATGTTAGAGTTGGAGAAAAATGCTAATGTCAATATAATTGATTAATTAAGGAGTCAGATTTTAAGATTAGAATAATAAATGTAAGAGAAAGAAGATTAATGGTTAGCCTAAGAAAGAATATATAAGGATAAGATATTTTAATTGTTATAAAATACAGAATGAATTTATCAACCAAAAACTTTGTTTATTTGTTCACATTCTGTTTTAAAGTCAGCATTGAAATCTCCATAATTAATTATTAATTATTATATGGTCTAGGCTTCTTTGGCAATACCATGAGACATTTCTGAAAACATCTCATGAAGAATGACCCAATGTAAATTCACTTGATGAATTCCATCTTCTTATAGAATAATAGTCCAAAATGATATTAAAGGACATTTCATATCAACCATTAATTTCATATTATTAGGTGAAAAACAAAGTGATCCTTATGGACCTAGATGAATTGACATATATTCAGATCTTAGACCTGTAAAACTAAGTCCTTTATATGGATCTGGATATTCATATGCTCCTTTTGGATCTACTACACAAATCGGAAGATGTTAAATTAATTTTTTAGTGTGTTCAAAATTAATTACTTCAAATACCCAATTATGATTGACATAACTCAAACATGGTTCTTATTTCATTGGTTCAAGTATCTTTTTATTTTGTAATGAACTAATAATCCAACTAAATTTTATATTATGAGAGACATGAAATTGTAATGGATGGAATTACATTATTATAAAATCATCTTCATGTTAATTTTATTCTTTCACTTATTAATCCTAATCAATTTATTGAATTAATTATTATTACTGTTCTTATTATTTTCCTTACTTTTTATTTTGTTTTTTGCCTCCCTTCTTATTATTCTCTTTTGGAGGAGGTTTATTATGTATAATTTATTCAGGAATGTTATGTAACACCTTTAATACATTGTTAGGTAAATTTATCCTTTATCCTTAACTATAATACTAGCCTTAATCAAAATTTAAATCCATCTATATCAAAACATCTACATTTAAAAAATGATATTGATTTCTAGAATATTTACCAATCACAGGTATTGCAGGATCTCCTGTAAAGATATTTGCAAGAGAAGCATTTTTGCATTTGTCTCCAATCCTGAGTAAGAAGGAAAATTAATCAGGAGGACATTTTTTTAATTCTTTAATATCTGCAATTTATTACATGAATATTAATTAATGAATTTTATGATGTCATAATATGTTCATTAGTACAAAGTCAATCATAATTATTATATGCGTAACTCAAATAATGATAAGGATTGTTCTTATAAGTTGGAGCATATTCACCACTTGAATATTCTTCTTTGATTGATATCTCTTTGGATTCTTCAAATAGAGAATTATTTGATTCCTCCTTTTTACAGAGACTCAAAAATTTATCATATGGTTGTTCTTTTTTCAATTCATCTTTCAAATTCTCAATGGCTTAGATATACATCTATTTTGTTTCTTGGTCCTTGATCTTATTGTTGACAAGTACACAAATCTCAGCCTTAACACTTAAAAATTCAATCCATTTGTGTTGAGTTTCCATCTATATTTTTTTAGTCCGTGGATTTATAACACCAAACAACTTCTTAAGATCTCCTAACTCAAACTTTTATTATTTTGATGTTTTCTTTTTATGAATACCTCTTAGGTATCCATCTACCTATTTGTATCCCATCTCTTCTGCCCAATGCATGAATTGATTCATAAAGAAAGGCACTATCCTTCTTTAAAAATTGTGTTATTTCTTAATTTAATATGGTACTTCTTTTTCAACTTGCTGAGGTTTTATTGTGAAATGTGTATTAATAGCATTCAATAATTGCTCATCAATCTATATTATAACCTTTCCATTGCATTTTTTTAGAATCTAAAAATTCTTATATTATGTCATACTTGATATGTTTAATCGTCCTACATTTTATTTCTAATTATTAAATTACATACCAAAATTTACTATTCAATATATTTTTCATTACAAATTTCATAGAGTTTTCGTAGAATTTTCAAAGAATTTTCATTATATAATTAATATAAATTAATCACTCTTCTAAAATACAAGAACATAGCTCTCTATTTAACATATCACTTACTCTGATCTCCATACTTATAATCAAATTCAAAATTTAATCATCATAATTAATATAATTAATGCAATTTCAATCTATAATGATTTTCATTTCTATTATATGCAATTCTTTAAACCAATTCACAATGAGAAAGTTAATCACAAATATTAAAATACATATCTCAAACTTGAAGAACAGAACTATCACTTCATTTCTCAACTACCTTATTCAACTAATCAACTTCGCTTCTAATCTATCTTCATCATCATAACAATTTGATTATTTTATAATTTAAATATCTTAGATCTAGATCTAGATCTAAAAAATAATTTATAAATTCTTAATTGAGGATGATCCTTCAACTAAATAAACCAAATTTATTTTACTTATTTCTGAAATGGTTTTTATTTTATCTTATTTACAATTATCTTCACAAACTTTTTTATTCTCCTCTATATAAAGATCTATCAATTCAGTTATCTTAAAACAATCCACTATTCTATCTAGTGCTTGTGAGACTTTATTTCTATCTATTCATTTTTCAAATATCGTTTATCTCTAATTATGTCTTAGTATATTCTTTTAATTTGCTAACTAACACTTTTAAAAAATTAGACATTGAAACTTTCTAATTGCTCTCAACAATATTGTACTTAATTTGAATTAACTTACAATAAATTTATAATTTAGATTAGTTCCTCTCCATTAAAAAAAAGTTTAAATAACTATGCCTATTAATTTTTGTTAATATTTTTATCATCCTAATAATCTTTGAATTTCAACAATAAATTTTCTTTATGATACTCCTTTTATTTCTATATCACTTCTAATTTAACTGCATTTTAAAAATTAGATTATGTATTAGTGAATTTTGTTAGATTAATTTATTTTTTTAAGATTACCCCATTAAACCTGTAAATCTACTAAGATAAACTTCTTTAATGGTTAGTTCATTTAAATTTCTTAACCTTTATATATATAATTGTGTCTGATTATATGATTTTTAATATGATTATAATATAATCTCATGATAATTTAGGAAATTCCTACTCGTTTGTAACATCCACTTTCTACTCCTATTGGATAACTACTTTTTGGACTTCTTTTTTAACAAATTCACTATCAGGAGCATTCTCATAGAAAGATCTTTTGGCTTTAATCAAATCAATAGCCAAATCAATTTGATTAGAATAAAATGGAGCAGCCACTTTAATTTGATCAAAATATTAGAAAGTTGTTAAACCATGTTATAAAAATTAATCCTAAAATTAAAAATTATAATATTACTCCTTCCTTTTTCTCATATTTTGTGAGGTATGAGATCAAACTATCACACAACTCTAAAAGTATAAATAAGATAATTTACTTAATAAATCTTCTCTTGCAGTATTATTCCCTTCATCATCTTACTCTCCTTCACTTTGATCCTCTTCTACTTACATTTCTTCAGGAGCATCAGGATCTTCAACCACTATTCTATTGAAATGTCTTTCAATCTTCTTTGTATGCTTTTCCTCTGTCTTCTTAATCTTTTCAATCTTTTAGAGTATGTAATCTCTATGTCTTTACAATTCATGTTGATTATCATGTTGATCCTTCAATTTAATATAGGCTTAGATAAGAATTAAAACTCTTGAAGCAACTCCATATTAAAATTGAATCTTCTCTCTCTCTTTTGTTATTGTATATTTGAAATTTTGTTACTCTCTTGTCATCTTTAAAATGGCTTCATTATCCTCAGCACTTTTTTCCTATTTATTTGTCAAAGCCTTCAATTTCTATTTGTTTTAATGATATTTGGAATGCTCATCAGAATATTTTGTAAGCATCTCTCTCAACTTTTGTAATTTCAATGCTGCAAATTCATATTCATCTTGAACCAATTTAAAAGTTCCCAAACTTACTAAATGTTAAGATATCGATGCTTCTTTGAATAGAGATTCTACTTAATGCTAATTATATAGAAAAATTAAATACGATAGCCTATTCAAATTGATCGATTTCCTTCTAGATTGCTACATTCCATTCCTTATTTCTTAATTCATCAAGAGTCTTATTTGGTTGAATTTCTGGGTGTGTTGATACTACTTTAGAAGGTTTCTTTTATTTTTGAGCTGTCTTTGGTTGTTAAATATTATGAATCATATATTAATTAATTAGATATGACGATCTAAATCAACGTATTATCATAATTAATTGATTAATAAATTCTTTAATTAATATGTCTCTCATATTATTTTCAATATCTAAAAATTTTCAGCATTCCATAAAGATATTCAAAATATATCTTCTATAATTTTTAGCTAAAAATTATAAAAAAGTTTCAATTGTTTTCAATTTCCTATATAATTTGGTATTCAAATATATAATTACAATAAGTTAGTTATAAGAGTACAAACCGATTCAATATAAAGATTATTCATAATTGAGAGCTATGAATTTTTGAATGTGTTCTTTTCATATAAGGAGTATAAAGAAAGTATATATATAAGAATAATAGAAATCTTAAAATAATTTAGAAATTTATTGATAATATTATAATTTATATATTTATATTTATATATTTATATATTTATAATATATAAATGTGAAAATGGCTTTTCAAATTAAAATTATTATAACCTAAAAACATTTATTCTCTCAAACATCTTTTAATCTTTATATATATTTTATTTTAAGATAGATAACAATAAAAAGCAATTTGTAAGTTAAAAAAATAACAAACAAATCTACCAAATTAATATAGAATTTTAATTACCACCAAAATATTGTATAAAAAGCAATTATTATAACATAAAAATTTATTAATATTATAATAATAAAAAATGACAACCATTTACTTAATTATTCATTTACTCAGTATTTGCTTACGTTCTTAATCTGTTGATTAATAATATGATTGGATTTCCTTGTACCCAAAAGAAGGAGAATTTTTAGAATATAAATTTCCATTTGATTCAAAAGCCCTCAAAATCGAATCTTCCCCTGCATTTTTTTATTTAGTGAATAAGCCTTCAGCAATTTTCCAAACTGATGGAGAATGTAAATAAAATCAAAATCAATATAGTTATAGAATTCAAATCATTATCATCAAAAAATACCCACATTTGCTGGTTTACCTTAGGAAAATGAAATAATTCTATATGAATAGAACAATCAAAATATGATGGCTATTTGGAAAGTTAATTGTATATAATGCAATTAATTGATGGAGAATCGATTATTCTTAATCAATCTAAATCTTTAATACCTATTTCAACTAAGATTTAATCAATAATAAATCAAACAAATCCTTTTATAATATACGCCTAATATTATCAAAATTATTCAATCATTTCACTTTTATTAGCTCAATTTCAAAATTTAAGTTTCTTGAATAATCAATTTGTTGATTTTGATGCTCCTAATAATTCAATTAATCCGAAAATCTATTTTATTACTTCTGAAATCATTAATCAGTATTCTATTTCAAATAATTCTACTTTTTAATATCATCGTAACAAAACCCTTAATACTTTTCCAACAGCTTTAAGAATAATTAATGTGTTTTCCCAAAATTAGATTTGTCCTCAATATGATAATATATTAATATATTCAGAGAACAATTCGGTTGTAATTTACCTTCAAATTTTATAAAATTAAATTTAATTGCATAATCATTGGAGTCACAATATTAAGATAATGAAAATACTCTAAAACAATTAATTCTATATTTTATAAAGTAATGCCTATTTACAGATCATTCCAGTAAATTATTTATCCAGTATACAAATAAAAAATATCCTAACAAAAAAGAAAAATACTTAATTATATCTCAATGGTCATAATGAATAATAGTTCAAATTTATAAATTATTTTCTTATATTTTCATTTAATTAAGAGATAGTTATTTAATAACTGTCATAACCATAGTTATAAATTAATCTAACTAATACAAAAAATGCAGGTAAAAATAATCAATTTAGAGTTAATTATTTAGCCTACAGTTCCTTATTTTAATTTTAATATGTTAAGTTAGTAATAAATCTTTTCGTTTTGTTCCCTAATGATACAAATATTAATGTAATGTTTTAACAAACGATTAATTTGCCCATATTAACTTCTTTTTCATCATAAAACTTTTATAGTTTTTCAGGATCATTATTACATTATGCTCCAAGTTCATCTTTATTGGATTATAAAGATAACACTTATTAAAATATTTTAGAAATTAATTAGACATATTACTTAGCATAATTTATAATATCTTATCATTGGATATCTTTTCCTTTCCCATTTAATCTTATAATCAAAAATAACAATTTAATTTAATCAATATTTCTATAAATGCGAAATCCTTATATGCAATTGAACCAAGTTATTATCTAAATTTTAATCGATATTATTCTCCATATCTTTTAATTGGAATAAGTAATAATAATAATATTTATGTTTATAACCAAAGCATATCTAGTGTTTTTTATAAATCTTATATTTGAACTTTTGAATAAGAATTTTCAGCTTTTATATTAACCCCGTATAATTTGATAATTCTATTCTATAATTTAGAAATTTAAATAACGACTCTCAATTGTAATAATATCTTAACTTTAAATTAAAAATACATAGACATTCATTTCAAAAATATTCAGTTTAATCCTATTTAGATTGTGATGAATACATAATTGTTTTCACTTTTCTTATTTATTAACAATATTAATGAAGTTATTATAATATTAATATAGTAAAATAATATTGTTATACCAATTTCACTAATTAAATTAGACTTCAAAGTGAAAAAAATAAACTTAGTTAATTAATAACAGGTTATATCATATATTTGTAAGAATAATGATGATAATATTTGTTTTGAAGTCTGGAATATAGAAAATTTGCCAAACTCTTTACATGTAAAAAGTTTGTATAGTTTACCATTCAATTTGATAATCTGTTCTTTTATGTTACTTTATATTAAGGTGAAAGTAAATACAATGTTTATATTTATAATCCTTCTTTACCATAAATCTGAGTTTATACTATTTAACTAGAATAAACATCACCAATTGTATGTGTTTCGGCTTTTTATGATTTTTTGGTCTTCCTGGAATTCCTTGAAACATTAGTCTAGTTGGAGTCTTTATAATTGGAATTATTAGAATAATGATTTTAGTAACGCACTATTGTTTAAAATTAAGCTTTTTATTTCATACCATTTTATTAAAATTTATTAATTTCACCTTTATAAATCCCTTAAAATGAAATTAATCAAACATATCCATTAGTTTTTATAACTTTTCAGTATCTTTGTCATTAAATCCAAACACCTAATATTCTTAATATTAAAATATCAGATATAAATGATTTAAGTTCATTAGTTTATTCAAATTTCACTATTTTTAAACATTAATTCTAACCATTAACAATAAATTTGACTACCAATAATTTTAATATGGAGAATGAAAGATTCATTATCCGATAAATCTAATAATTAATAGACAAATCAGCTTTTGCAATGTCTCATTTTAATCAAACAATAATAATTACACTTTAACAAATTAATAAGAATACTCCTCATATCCTTGAGTACAAAAATTTCCCTTTAATCACATCAATAAATAATGAATTCTTTGCTTTACAGAATAATTCATATATTCAGACTTTTGATAAATATTTGAAAAACCTCTTTAGTTATAATTATTCAAATTTAAATTTAGATATATATTTTATATCTACCTCAAATTTTTATTAATTGAATTCAGTTTGTCAAAATAATACTTCATCATATTGGTTACCTGAAACTTCCTTTGTAAATTAAACACAAAGTATAATTCTTTTATTAGCTTTCAATATAAGTGAAATTATTTGTCTCATTAGCCCAAATTTCAACTTAATTTAAAAAAAATGGTTAGCTGATCATGATTTTTAAATTAGGCAGTTCTGGCAGATTAGACATTTCAGGCAGTTCTATCTTAGTTATAGTTGGAAATTAGGTAATATACCTGACGATCAATATACTTGATAATTATTTTATCTATTTTAGAGTATACTCTGGGTGTTAATTATATAGCTAGTTTTTCTTATTCTTAGACCATCTAACTTACTTTATTTTTTCAATTACATAAAATCATATTTATTAAAATGGTATTTATATTCAATAATTTTAAAATAACAGTAAATATTTTGTAGGAGTTTATAATTTAACTAATTTAAGAGAAAGTAATTTATATGAACCTTATTTGATGTACGGTTCATTCAATACACAGTCAGAGCAATATGTAGTAATTGTAAATCTAGAATATAGTAGATAAACTTCCAATGTTAAAATTACTTTTATGACTCTTTAGATTAACTTTGATTAAAATTGACAAATAAACTATATATTCTCAATCATTTTTATAAATTAGATTAGTCATTCATTAAAGGAACTGTATCAAAGTATAACAATTCTATCATTTGTTAATTAAAGTATGCCTACTCTTTATAGAGGAAGTATACATAAAAACTTTCTATTTACTTTGCTTAGTATATAACATGTATCTCAGGTTATTATGAATAATTAACTATATATCTTACATGTCAAAATGATTTTTTTCGTGGAAAATATACTATAACTTTTGAATTTCCCGAAAATATTATTGAATTACAGAACAAAAGAAAAGGATAGTTTATTTCTCATCTATCAATAGTAGTTTTGCTTTTGATATATTTTTTAATTAAAGTTAAATACAGTATAAGAAACCTAAATATCAATTCAGAAATTGAGTTATGATGTTATAACCTATTCAATACAATATAATACAAAATATCAAATTTTAAATCATATTCCAAGTCTAAATTATCCTTAAATGTTTTTTAAAATCTAATATAAGTTACAATAATGAAAAGTCAATTTATTCAGTAAAATCGAACTCCTACTTTATTTCTTATTATCTTTTCATTTCATTTCTAAACTACATTAAACTTATCAAATATCGTATAAAACTAAAGTTTTTTTATAATTTTCTTTAAGTCTATCTTGAGCTTTTTTAATTTATGTTATATTTAGCAAATTTAGAGGATTTTATTATTTTAAAGTACAAAATAAAAATTAATAATTAACTAATAATATTTAAAACAAGTATTAGTTTTTTATAATATATAGCTTAATAATATAAAGTTGAATTAAGCACATAATTTTTACAAAACTCTAATTATAGTTTAAAACTCAAAACAAATGATTAAAAAAATCCATTAAAACCAAAGTTACTGGTTTTAATTAAGAAAAATAGTATTAATTAATTATAAAAATTTTAAATTAGTTTCAAATTTTTTTAAATTTTAATTAAAAATATGTTTGCTAATTAAAAGTAATCCAATATGATTTATTTTAGAGTGCATAAAGTATTTGAAGATTAGATAGATACTGAGAATAGAGGAACATTACTCAATAGGATAAAGGAAATCAGATTGGAAGTAGTTTAACTTAATTATGTTAAAGAAGTCTTATTATTGTAATATGATGGAGAATAATGATTAATTATTATCAAAAACAGAAATTACAAGAGCAATAAATATTAGAGCTTGTAGAATAAATCGTCTGTATTGAAAGAATATAGGATGAGTAAAATGATGATAATAAAAAGTTATCTATATCTTTAGATAAAATAAGCATTTAAAATAATGAGTTGCTTTAATAAAATAATTAATTGACTTAAGACAATTCAAATTTAAAAGAAACTTTAAGCAATTAAAAACTAAGAACTTTTAAAGGTAAATAAAAGCTTGAATATCAGATATGTTCAAATAATAAAATTTATGCAGAATATTTCTCTAAAATGAAGTTTATAGATTAAAATTTGATTTTAAATAATAGAAAAAAAAGAAAAAGTAAATTTCTCTAAATGTAAAGTAAGATCACTTTTAGTTTAAATAAAAAGAATAAAAATAGAAATTCAAACAATAAGGATGTATTTATATTTACACTAGAAGGAAAAATTAAAGTATTCGTGAATTATTTAATATAAAAAGTAGTTTGAGAACTTGATAGAGAATAAGGAGTAAGAGAAAATAATAATTAAGAAAAATTTAACTAAAAATTTAGAATACACTATAAATGGTAAAGATAGACAGATATCAAGTTTGTTTTCTGAAACAAAGTAGTTTAGACTATTTGAGAATAAGGAGATTATGAAATTTTGTAAAACGTGAAAGAATTTTGTAGATTAGATTTAGTAATTAAATTAATAAATTAATGAGCTGAATAATTCCACATAAGATAATCAAAGAAAAATATTCTTTTGGATTAAGAATTGATCACTAGAAAATCAAGTTGATATTGAATAATTTCAATGAGTTAAAGTTATATTCTTAATAAAATTGAATAATTTAAGATAGAATTAAGACTATTTAAGTGAGCTAGAAAGAGAAAAAAGAGACTAGCATGATATAATAGATAACATTCAAAGCAAATGAGAAATTTAAATTTTAGCCTCATTTTCTTTTTACATATTGGAGAAAGAATTTGAATAAAGAAGTAAATCTTAAACAAGAATTTTCCTTTTATAATATTTGGAAGATCAGAATATTGAAGTAAAGTAATTAAAATAAAAACAATAAATTAATTTATAAAGTGAAGGAACAAATAATTGAATTGAAATCTAACAGCATTTCTAAGATAGATAGCCTTCAGAATTTTTAGGCTAATCTTAGGGAGTTTTTATAGAACTAAACCTTAAAACTAATTTTAGTAAATATAATAAAATATTTATGTTTTTAAATATGAAGTGAAATTAGAGAAATGGAATTATGAACTTAATTTAAAAGAATTTAAAATATCATTTTACTGAAGTGTAGAATTTAGCACAAGAGATTACAAATAGATTTAAAAGGAATCAAATGTTATCATAATAAGTAAATCTATTGATTAATGACTTAAAGAAGAAATTAAATCTTAATTGATAACCAAAGATTATAGTTTTGAGTATCAGATTAGTTATGAAAAAAGCTTCAAAAAATATTGCTTAAACATTCTTAGAAAGCAGCCAGACTCTAAATTATAAGAAAAATTATAATTAATATTTTAGAACAAAAATTCAGCAAACAGTAGATTTAATTTTGAAAGAGAGATAATACTTTGAATAAAGATAGAATGATTGTAGAATGAAAAAATAATAAATTCAAATCATTAGATCTCCAAGCATGATTAAATAATTAAGTTTATAAGAATTTATACATGTTAAATTTTATTAGAAAACATAAATTATGGTTCTTCTACTTATTGAATATCAAATAAAATTACCATAAGAGTGATTAGCGAAAAGAAGATTTTAAATTATATTTAGTTTTTGTAGAAATAAAATCGGTCTTGAAAATATATATTTTTGTTTATATTAATTTTAATTATTTTAATATTTTTATTGATTGATGTTATAAATTTGATAGAAAAAAAGGATATATTTTTTTAAAGAAGTATTTTTAAAGATTTTTGTGAATATAAGATAATTGAAATAGTATTAAACTATGATTGTTAAGAATTTAGTTTGAATATCTCTTTAAAATAAATAATGACTTTATAGATTTGGAATGTGATAAAAATATTTTAGAATATTGATGATTTGTAATGTTGTGAGTAATAATAATGAAGCTAATGAATGATTATAAAAATTGAGAGAATATATAAAAATCAGATAATTAATTTAAATAGTTTAAAATAATGGACGACAAAACAAATCAAGAGGGGTAAAAGTAAGAAGTAAATTTAGGGCTGAGTAGTTAGTAATATTTGAGGAGAAGATCACAACAGTAAATGGATAGGGAGCAATTAAGAAATATCAAAGAGGGAAATTTTTGGGAAAGGGAGGATTTGCAAAGTGTTATGAAGCTACAATTTTGGAAAGTAAGAAGGTTCTTGCGGCAAAGATAATTGTTAAGAGTAGTTTAACAAAGAATAGGGCTCGTTAGAAAGTAAGTAGAGTTAATTGATGTAGCTAATATCAGAAATAAAAATACATAAGAGTTTGTAGAACACAAACATAGTACAATTTGAGCATGTATTTGAGGATCATGAAAATGTATATATATTATTAGAATTGTGTTCAAATTAAGTAGATAATAAATAATAAAATAGACATTGAATGAATTAATAAAGAGAAGAAAGAGATTGACAGAGATAGAAGTGTAATGTTATGTTGGTTAAATAATAAATGCATTAAAATATTTACATGCATAGAAGGTGATTCATAGAGAGTAAGAAGTTATATAATATTAAAAAGTCTTAAATTGGGTAACTTATTTTTGAATAAATCAATGGAGTTAAAGTTAGGAGACTTTGGTTTAGCAACAAAGTTAGAATTTGAGGGAGAAAAGAAGAGAACGATATGTGGAACTCCGAATTATATAGCTCCTGAAGTATTGGATGGAAGAGTAGGCCATTCTTTTGAAGTAGATGTATGGTCATTAGGAGTCATTATGTATGCAATGTTGATAGGCAAACCTCCTTTTGAAACTCCAGATGTCAAAACTACATATAGAAAGATTAGATTGAATTCATATTCATTTCCAGAACATGTGTTGATATCAGATTCAGCAAAAAGTCTCATAACGAGAATTTTAAATTTAGATCCATCATAGAGACCTACATTAGATGAAATTATGGCTCATCCATTTATGAATACAGGTGGAACTATTCCAAAAACATTACCTTTGTCAACTTTGGCTTGTCCTCCTTCAGCATCTTATAATAAATAATTTTAACCATCAACTAATACAAGTAATTTAAAGATGTCAACTAATGTGTTACCTTAAAGATTAACAGAAACTACTCCAAATAATCCAAATAATCCAAACAATCCAAAGAATGTTTAAAAGTAAACTAATGGATCTTCTGATCGATTTCCATGTAAATTACTATTAATATAATATTAGTATAGAAACCAAGTTCAAGTGGAAATCTAATGGAAGATAATTTTTGTTCAGGTTGTCTAAATAATGCTTAGAATGTTGGTTATGGTGGTTCTTAAAGACCTTAATCACAAAAACCAAATGATATCAGAAATAGTTAGAGTCAGAAAGCTCTCTCTTAACCATTTGGTGGAACAGGAATGTAAGGTGCTTAATCTGTCAATAATCTTGGAATTAAGTAGACACAATCAAAATAGGAAGTTTATGTTAAGAAATGGGTTGATTACTCAAGTAGATATGGATTAGGTTATTTATTAAGTAATGGTGCTACTGGAGTTTTCTTTAATGATTCAACTAAAATTGTACTTGATACCAAAACTTTGATATTTGAATATATGGAGAGGAAGGGATAAGATAAACAAGATATTTGTGAAACACACAATCTTAATGATTATCCATAAGACTTACATAAGAAGGTCACCCTACTTCAACATTTCAGAAGTTATTTGGAAGGGGAACCTCAAAATCCTTCAAATGAAGAATCAGATACCAAATAGTTAGTATATGTTAAGAAATGGATGAAAACTAGACATGCCATTATGTTTAGATTGTCAAATAAAATTGTCTAGGTTATTAATCATTATTAATATTAGGTTAATTTTACAGACAAAACTGAAATTATATTGTCATCAGAACATAAAATGGTTACTTATGTGAATAAAACTGGTGAAAGAAGTCATTATCCTTTAGCAACTGCTCTTGATAGCTAAAATACAGAAATGGCAAAACGACTTAAAGTATATAATATTTACATTTTTCTTAGTACACTAAAGAAATATTAACTCATATGTTGAATGGTGGTCAAAATGGAGGAGACAATAAATCCAATCAGCTAGCAAATGCCAACTGGTAAAATCCTTGAATATTATATATTCTGATAACTATGTTAATATAATCAAGTTTTGTTAGTATAAAATTAATATAAAATCATTAAGATTAATTTATAAATCATCAATATAAAATCTTATTTATAGATATTTCTAATTTTGTATTATTAAATTATATTATAAAATACTCTCTCAGAATATTTTTCTAAACTATTTTTGATTTAACTAACATGCCAAAATTTTAATTAATCGTTTTTGATATTGCTTTAATTCAATAAATAAATCATACTATTCTTAACTGAAGGTTCTTTTATTTTCTTAATTTAATCATTTAATTTCCCATTCATATGTTATCTTAACTCCCAGAAATTGTAATTCATCATTTTGATATTTTATATTGCATTATAATATTGTTGACTCAATAAATTGTACAGCTTTGAGATTTTATTATAGAGTCCATTGTATTTAATTATTTTGATGAATCATTTAGATCTATTTAAGGTATGTATTCAATCAAAGTTTTAATGAAATAGTAATATGTAATATTAACTATTATTGTCAAACAATAACAATTTAATATTTTTATACATATTTATCTGGATATTTAAAAAATAATAAACAACAATTTTTAATAAGAATATGAATAAACTTGAGTTATTGAGAAAGGGTTGAAGTATAATTAATAAGAATAGATGGGTAGACATTTTGATTGAAAAAGAGTAAGAACAATATTCTGAGAATTTATGGATTGAAAATGAATTTAAGAATATAAATTAGATTGATGATTATTAAAAATATGGTTGCTTGAAATAAAAAAAAGACTAGGTTATATCATTTAATCAATTTATTTTAACGCCAAACTCCAATAAATGAACCAAATGTACCATTTCCATCAACATAATCTTGATAGAATTCTCCTTTGTAACATTCATCATTAGATAGGTACAATGCTCCTTAACCATCTTTAAGATCATTTTTAAAATGACCAACATACTTAACCCAATAACTAGAAGAATAGATGAAGTATTACTTTTCAATAAGATCAAAATTAGAACAATCAAATGGAGCATTCAATTTAGTAGGTTCTTTATTGTACAATGTTCCAAATCCAGAAAATTAATCATTTTCAAACTATCCTTCATATGCCTTTTAACCAACTCCATAGAAGAGTGTACCATATCCATGCATTTTATTCTATTTCCATTATCCTTCATAATAACCACCTTAAACAAATTGATATCTTCCGAATCCATCTCTTAATTGATTGTAGATTTCTCCAACATATTAGGATCCATCTTGATATTATTCAGTTTTAAAACATCTTGATTTATTCATTTCAATCATCTATTCCATTTCTTATTTATAATTAATATCTTTTTTGATAGAATAATTAATAGGTATTTCAGTATAACTTAAGGGTATACTATTGCATGATGGATGAGTATCTATAGTTATAACATGAGGATGAGTATTTTTAGTAGATTCTAATTAAGGTCGTTTTTAGGATTCTACTAAGGATGTTTATGGTTTAGTTGAGATTGTAGTAAATCCACCAAGACCAATTGAATATGATTATAATCCATTTCCAATTAATTATTCAATCTTCTCTTTTTCAGTGTTTTATTTCTATTATGAATTATTAGTGAATTACAATGAAGAATTGACTAACTATCTATTGAATGAATAATCAACTGAAGCATAACTATTCAGTTTTTATTAAACTTATGATTTACTTTGATCTTTTATAACCATTTAATCTTAATACTTATAAAATCCTAATTCTTTCTTTTTAGTTTTCTTGATTGTAAGTTTAGGTTTAATTCTCAATTACTCAAATTCAATCATTATCTTACTTGGTTTACTTTCTACTTATTCTTTTAATTAATTTAATGGATCTTAAGGACTGTCTTCTTTTAAATTCATGGGAGACTTAGAATCTAAACAAATAGCAGAATGATTAATTAAAGAGTTTTCTAATGATTTTGATATTCCTAAATCAGGATTCCCCTTCATTAAATTGTTTAATGATTTGAAATCTGGTCTAGATTCTTCATCCATTTATAACATAGCTACAATAACAGATTCATATTTAATTGAATAATTCTTTTTCAATAATGCTAGTTTTCTTGATAAATCAACATGTCCTCCTTCAAAACTATATAATATATTTATAAATATATATACTCAAAACAATCTCTACAATGATCTAATAAACTTGCTTATAACATACACATTCCTAAACTCCAAACATCACTTTTATATAGATTGTGTCTAGGGAATTAATTATTCTAATTTATAGCTTCCAATAACTTTGGTGATAATTCAAATAATTTCTAATTCTCAGGATTCTATTACGCCATCTAAAATGCACTCTATTGAAAGTAATTATCACAAAGCTTCAATGTGTTTTCATTCACATAACTTATTGTCAATGGTCTTATGTTCTGATGAACCAAATGTGCTTCTTACATTGTCATTAACAACTTTATCATATTAATATACATTACATTCACTAACCCCATCAATTGATTCCATAGTTCTTACTCTATCCAAAATGCTCCTCTACCTTTTCTGTTCACTATCTCCTTATGAAATGAAGTCGAGTAATATTCACTTACTATATACATTATCTAATATGAAGTGCACAATTCTTATTCCTTCTAAATTCCACTCTCCAATATTTTCACCAAATTCTCATGATCAACCTTTGCTCTCTTTACAAATCCATCATGTTAACTTTAATCCTATATTATTACTTTCCTCATTGCACATATCTAATTGTATTTTCTAATCAATGTAGCTTTCCCATATCTTGAGTCCTATATTTGACCTTCCTACTTACTCTCTTGAGAACCCATTTTAGAAATATATATCTTCTATATTATTATTATTTTCAATATATTTTCATTTTCATATTACTTTACTATCATCTAATCACTTTTACTAATCTTTCTACTCCTCCTTATACATCATAACTTTTCATTTATATTCATCTCTCTCATTATCTCTCAAATTCAAATATTTTATTAACTATCAAACTTTTCCTTCTTTAATTGTATATACTTAATTTACTTTTTCTAAAGGAATCATTTGTGATACATTAATACAATAAGTAAATTTTTGCTACTCTAATCTCAACTTTTATTAATTAAATTTCTTTTCATGTATCATAAAAAAAACAACAATATATTGTTTTTATGTTAAGTTTTTACTTTATAATATGAACTTAGTAGTAAGTAAAGACAGTTTGAGATTAAAATTATTAGATTTTGTAGAAGTAACTAATATTTTGAGTTAGATAAAAAAATAAAAGTAACTATAAAATTATTTACTGAATCGTTTATGATTGAATCTTTAAATGGATTTTGAATTTTTAAAAGAAGAAACAAAAGAGATATAAAAGATGTAGATTAATTAAAATATAAAAAGCCTAAGTGTTTAAGTAATGGAATTAAGAGAGGTTATGATAAAAGAGTGAGGAATATTTGAAATTTGATTGATAAAATTAGATGATAAAATATTGTGATAAATAGATTAATTGAAAAGAATGAAAATTATAATAATTCAAAATTGTGAATTGAATAGATAAAGGGAATTGAATAATTTGATTGGTTATAATAAAAAAGTAAAGAATGATAAGTTTTATGATAATAACTATTTCAAGGGTAATGTAGAGAATGAGACATTGTGTTTTCTATTTCAATAGTTTTGGATTCAAATGGATAGATTTAGATTTTGGGAGGGTTTCTATAATATCTTGAGACAGCAGGTAACTTTAATCTTGGACTACAACTTCGTCTTTGTTGATTGTAATATTTTTTATCAGTATCGTCTTTTTGAAAATTGTTCATTTTATCAATCCTATATTTAAGATTTTCTTTGGGTTTAGAATTGCGAGAGGAGTGAAATACAACATTATTGGGTGATTTTTCAATAATAAATGCTGCTCTAACAATGGGATCAAGATTTTTGATATATTAAGCAATTTCTGAGGATGCTCCACGATAATTTTTATATCTGCCTAGAATGGTAGGATCAGAGAAGAGTTTTTAATTTTCGAGTCTTATTTAAATAAATTAGAGATGATACTTTAAAATGGGATTTCTAGCAAGAATGTTAGAGTTGAGAGAATTGAATTTTAATAGCATATCTGAATTATGAAGGTTAGCATCAAGTGTAAAGGGATTTAGTTGTATTTTATTAGAGACATACATAAAATAATATATTTATAAAAAGATAATAATAAATATAGATAGATGGAGTTCATATAGTGATATATAAAAAGTATTAATAATCTTTTTTTAATGGATAATAAAAAGAAATTAAAAAAGAAGGTTGATGATTCTGATAGTAGTGATTTGGATGAATAACTAAATGAGATATCTAAGAAATATAAGTAAATGATTAGATGATAAGAATAAAGAAATCGACCCAGACCAGAAAAGTAGGAAATTCCAATATTAAAAAAAGTGAAGCCACCTGAACCTCCTCCTTAACCACCATAACCTACAGCTTTACCATAATTATCTTCATTTAAAAAGAGTGATAGTGGTGCATATAAAGTACCATAACATTTACATAAAAATTATCCTCATGCAGTGTATTAAATATTAGATTAATTAAAAATAGACGACTCTATTTAGGTAATCTGCCAGATAATGTTGATAAGGATCATCTACACAATTACATAAGATAATAAATGGAATCTCATGGAGCTGTATTAGATCCTGGAGATCCTGTTATTTAAGTGTAATTACAACCAGGTTAAAAATATTGCTTTGTGTAATTCAGAAGTATTGAAGAGACAGAAGCAGCTTTATAAATTGAAACTATTAATTATTAAGGAAAACCACTCAAATTCAAAAGAGTTAAAGATTATGATATCAGTCCACGTATTGAAGGTGAAAGGGAAGTCCCTAAAATATTACCTAAAGAACCTGCTTAAAAATTATTCGTTTGTGGATTAGCACCTGATACTGATAATGATGCTTTAGCTAATATTCTAAGCGAATATGGAAATTTAAAATCATTAAATGTTGTTAGAGATACTAAAAATGTTTGTAAAGGATTTGCTTTCTGTGAATTTGAAACTGATCTAGAAACTTAAAATTGTGTTAATGGATTAAATAATAAAGTTATTGGAGGTAGATTATTATAGGTTAAAAAAAATGCTTAATTACCTACTCCTACTTAAGATTATATTATTGATACTATTACTTTAGGAGAATAATCTGCATTTGAACTTAAATTATAATAAATTAATTAAATGAAAGTTAGTAGTGTTGTTGTTATTAATAATGCTGTCAGAATTAAAAATATTGAAGATGATTATGAATTTAATTTTGTTGTTAAAGATTTAAAAAAAGAAATTGAAAAAATTGGTAGATTGATTAGTATGGTTGTCCCAAGAAAAAAAGATGGCTATTCAGAAGGAATTGGAAAAGTTTTTGTTGAATTTGAAAATGAATAATTTGCCAAAATTGCTATCATTCTTTTATAAAATAAAAAATATGATGGAAGAGAAATTGATATTGCATTCTATGATCCAAGATTATATGCAGATAAATAATATTGATTCATTATCATACATCTTTCAATTATATTCATTTATATATTATATCAAGAATTTATATTCAAATTTAAATATATCATCAAATATACCCTAATACTTCATTTTTATTATTCGAAAAACATATCTCATTTAAGATATCTTTCTATATTAATTAAACTATATAAAAAGTTTCTGAAAGAATCAATTTCATTTCGAAATTTATTTTTAATTAGTTTCAATTCTATCTTTTTATTGAAAAACTGAATAATTCATAATTTAGAAAATATTAAATTATTTGAATATTTAATGTTGGTTTTAAAATTATAATAGATATTAATTCTTTAAAAAATATGTATTTTTATTAATAATATTTTGTTCATTTGAATCATTTTTTTGTAAGACTTTATTAATTACATAGATTATTAAAATTTTATTATATTATCATTCATAATCTAATTATTATTACACTTTGTAATTAAAGATCTAAAATTTCGCTAATAAAAATTTTGTAATTTAAGTTATAGAAATTTTTGTTAATCTCAAATAAGTTTTAAAATAAAGGTATTGTATTTGTGATATCTAAAAAGTAAAGGTAAATAATTGGTGTGAAGATTTTGATCCAAGATAGTTGGATAAGTTATACATTATTTGAGGTTACTACAAAATACAAATATATGACAGAAATATGGATTGGCTTTAATTGAAGATAGGAGGAAAGATGTAAAAGATTGAAATAGAAGTTAATCGGAATAAATAATAATATGAGGGAAAGGATAAATATGTTTTAAATACGAATTTTAAAGGATTTAATCTCTTGCTAAATTGGTAAAATGTATTAGAGATGATTTTATGTTCAAATGAAGATTAGAAATTTTTTTATTTTTAATGATGTATAAAGTCATCATCATATAGAATAATATTAGAATAAGTATGACAGTGTATTTTGATGTCGAAATTTATTAATGATTTAAAAAAAATAATCATTGAAATATTTATAAAATTTCGCGCTTATGGAATTTGAAAACGATAGTTGTCAGGCTCAATCAACACCTAATTTTTAGAATCCTTTGCTTTATACTCCTTAACATAGTTAATAATTTTACTCAGTGCCACCAAATACAATCAATCAAACGTAATGTTAAAAACCATAAAATTAATTTTGGATTGAAGGAACTAATTTGATAAATCAATAATAAATGTTTGTTTAGCAAACATTATAATAATAACCAGCATTATAGATTCAAACTTAATAGTTTTTCTAATAACCTTAAGAATAAAATGATGATGATCATGATTAAGACTACAAACCAGAAGAAGAATAAGAGTCTGATTCTACAAGTAGTGAAGAATAATAGGATGATGTACAAGAAGAAGGTATATAAATAAACTTAATTTTAAGAATAATTTGATGATCCTGATTTTGATTTACAAGCATACCTAAAAGTTCGTGATCAACTTTGATATTTATTATGAATTAAATTTAAATTCAAAATAAACCAAATTCTGCTCGTAATACTTCTCAAAGAATTCGAAATACTTCGTAACACTACCAACAATCATAAGTGCTTGTTAAAACAAAGTGTGTATAATTTCAGAAGATAAAATAAAATAATTTGCTTGAATTATTACTCATGGATACTGGAACAAGAATGCCATCACCAATTTCTAGTTAAATCAGTGTAGGAATAGGAAGAATACCAAAGGATTTTTTTAATTGATTTAGTTATTTATATATCGACATAATCATTTTTTTGAGTGATCTTACATAAACATTTGAAATTATATATTTTCCATATGAATTTAAGCAATATGAATATTTCAACTTAAAAAAAGAGTATTTAAGCTAATTGAGGTTGTTTTAATTTTTCGAATTATATTCTGATTTTCTTAAATAGATGGTAATGATTAGAGTAATTATATTGTAAGTGTAATTTAAAGATAATGTTATTATAGGATTAATACTTGTTTAAATTATTGTAGTTTTGTATATTAAGTAGATAAGAATAAAAAAATGATGTTTTGAAAAAGAAATATAATATTATTAATATGATGAATGTGATTATAATAATGATAATTTAAATTTTAGTCTGTGATGTTAATGAGAGAAGAGAATAAAAATAAATTAAATATATTAATATTAATAATGAAGAAGTTCTTAAATTTTGATTTGCAAAGATCAACTTATGCAAATCCAGTGTTAAAAGAATTAGCTTAATTAAGTTTATTAAAGAAGATTTAGAGCAAGAAATTATTAGAAGTAGCAGAATTAGGATAGAGATGTTATTCAATAGAGTAGAAGGATAATAAATGGTTGGAATAGATTTCTGAATGTTTTGAACATTATAAGACTGAAGTAAAGAGAGTTGGAGGTATATTAAAATAAGCAGAATAAGAGATGATGCAAATTGAGGTAAAATAGTTGCACTCCTCCAAATATAGGATGAATTTATGACGAAAGAGATGAATTGTTATAGTTTAGTAAGCGAATTCGAGATGGAATCATGCATAAAAGATTATAAATTATAATGTTTAAATTAGAAGCAAAAAGTACTTGATAGGATTAATGAATTAAATTGAGTATATAACAAGTCACGCATTTCGCCATAATCTCTATGGTATTGATATAAATCTAAGTGTTCCAAGCCACTCTCTTAAAGTAATACTGTCGGGTCCTTCCATAAAACATAACAAAGAAGTCTCCTACTGGTTCTGGTAGATTATCTAAGACGATGGTTAGAACTCATCTAAATACTCAAAAATCAAAAAATAGATCAGAAACCATAGATGTAGTCATTAGACCTAAAGATTCTATACCAGATGAAACTAATTCATTTAGATAAAAGATAATTAATTAGAGAGTAATTGTATTTAACACTTTCAATCGCATCATCAGTGTTGATCGTTCTGGTATCAGAATGCATAGAGCTTAACTATTGAGACATTTAAGAGAATTCTATAGTCAAATCATTGTTGAATAAATTAACAAAGTACTTAAACTACCTGATAATTTAACACTTTAGATGTATGAATAACTCGTTACCTCATTATCACAATTGGATAGACAATAATACTTAAATTTATGTTTTTAGATATATGATCTATCAGCATAAGGTGTTATTACTAGTACAAATTTACTATCAATACTATCAGTAGAGAAAAATACTTCAATAATAGAGAATGATATTTTAACAATGATTAAGTTTAGATAAGGTCTACTTATGTCATAATTAGATAAAAGTGAATCATCAAGATTACCTAAGCTAAGAACCATCGTAATAAATCACAAAAGAACTTAAAAAGGGAAACGAATGATGATCTCTTAATTCGAAGATGAAATAGATCATATTGTAGTACATCCAATAAATAGGCTAAAACTGATTGATAGAAATCAGTTTAATAAGATTTGGAATGATCAGATTCCTGGAATAATATAAGACATCTTCAAAAACTTGAATGATTATTATTATTAATGAGTACCGAGACAACTGAGTTTATTCCTAAAAGAATGGCAGTAGCAGTAGCAATCTTGATTATATTCATACTGCATTATACAACACTTCTAATAAATGGTTTCTTAAAGGGTCCAGAACAAAAGGAATATGTAAATAGGAGAGTATTTTTGTATGGGATAGCAGGTATGTATAAATGGATAATTCTATAGGTTTGTTGAGTATGTCAACAATATAAAGTAGTGTTTTTTCAGCTATCCTAGCTTGGTTGACATTTGTACCTCTAGCAATATTACATCTATGTATTTATGAAAAATTTCAAAATTTAAACAATCACAAAGACACATTGTGGTTAGCATACTATGGATTACAATTTGTTTGGTTCTTAGGAATAATCATAGATTTCTATTCATGATCCATATATATTTAATCATTTATACAATCTATACACTAAATGTCTTGAATAGTATTAAGTATTATTGTCACAATTATATATATATACAATTATATATATATATATATAAATCAATTTAACTTCTTAGAATTCTTAATTACATTATTGAGCTATTCAGCAAATAATTTTCTTATTCTAATATGTTTAGGTTTATCCTATATTTCTGCTTCTTCTTTTGTAAATCTTTTCAATCTTATAACAACACCTTAAGTTGAATGTATTTCCTCATTTGATAACTTAAGTAACTCAGACAACTTATATGAACTATGTTAAGATTCTGCTACTCTTCTCTTTTTATTCAACTATGCTGTTAATATCTCCCTTGAAAAGAAACTTTAATCTGTTTATTTCAGAGGGACACTCTGATTTCTTGATAAAATACGACTATCCTTATATGTTTAATCAAGAGTTGCTTATTCATCCAAATCATTAAATGCTTTTGAAGTCTCTCCTTTTCTTAAATCTAATTCATTCTAACATTTTTATTTTAAAAACTGTTTAAAGTATTATTCATAATGTTGTAGTTGTTCTTCAGAATTCTGCTTAATCTTCTATAATTATAGCATTTATGATAATTCTTTCAATCTTGATTAATCAGATACTTGACTTAATAATTTATTTGACCATAACTCATTTGTCAATATTAATCCTTTGTTCTTATGTAATTTATGTACAAACTAATCTTACATCTTATTATTGTGTATTTTGGCGATCACTTCTTTATAATCTGCTTTTTGTGATATACTTCTAGCTATTCCTGATGCTTTTTTTAAGTGCATATAATATAAATCTAAGTTTGCATTCTTTGTGAATGTCTCAAAAGTCTTTCTTCGCTATACTAATTTTGGATCAGAAATTATGTTAGGGATTTAGAATAAATACTTAAATTTATCACTCTCATTTTAACTTATTTTATTATTTGTTTCTTTCTTTTTTATTGAACTCACATCTTCAAAATGAACTGAATTTTTATGTCCTTTAGTTAATTTAATTTCTTTTGATTTTGGAGACTCTAAGGAATCCCCCATTTTATATAAATAATATAATCTTTAATTTTATTTATTTACATAATTTAAGAATTATTAATTTTATATATATAATTATATTAACTATTCTCAAATAATTTTTTTAGTATTTTTATTTGGTTATTATAATTAATAAATAATTTAAAATATATTTATAATATTATTTATATATAATATAATAATACTAATATAAGATATATCAAAATATAATAGTATTTAAAATATTAAGATAATAATATTAATATTAATATTAATAATAATAATAATAATATTGTTTGATGTAACTCAAAACATGATGGCAAATACAATAAGAATTCCTAGAGCAATAAATTGTGAATAATTTCCACTTTCAGTTAAATAGAAATCCAAAATTTTAGGTTTGAGAGATTCTGTTAAATCAGTAATATCTGGTTCATTTTCAGTGTCAGTTCTAATAAAGAGGATGCATAAATATTTATTTTCAACATCAATCCAATTTTAGAATCCATGAATACCTGGACTAGAATAAATAGATGGTTTATTATTGCTATCGATTCCAAATATCCATGCTCCAATAGCAAAACTATAAGAATCTTCAACTTCTTAGACAACATCATCTTTCATGACTTCTTCTGAGACTGGTAAATCTCCAGTATAATCTTATAACATCAATTGAACAGTAGAAGCTAATAAAATTTATTTTCCTTCAAAAGATCCTTAATTTAAGAGCATTCTTAAGAAATTACTATAATCATTCATGCTAATTAATAAACCATCTGCTATAGCAATATTGTTTCCTTTATCTCCGTCAAATGCTGTAAATGTAGCATTTTTCATTCCCATAGGTGTAGCAATATATTGATTGAATAATTCATGAAATGTTCTTTCTGATACTTTTTCTGCCATTCCTCCAGCAATTTACATTCCGATATCACTATAACCAACTTTAGTACCTCCTGGGAAGTAAACATTACTGGCTGCATATTTACCACCATTAGCAATACCAAGTACAGATTCTTATAGAGATATATTTAAATCAAAGACCCAATCATCTGCTAATTTATAACCTGATGTATGAGTCATTAGATTCTTTAATGTCATTGTTGGATTACTATCTTTAAAATCTGGATATATATCAGTTACTTTAGTATCAAGACTTAATAACTGTAACTCTACAAGCTTCATTATTGTTGCCATTGCTATCCATTTACAACCAGAAGCTATATGAATTGTTGTATTATCATCATAAGGTTGGGTACCTGTTGAACTCAAATGCTCTTTCATATATATTGAACCATCTGCTCCTTATATTAGAATACTCATTTTATTATCCATTATATCAAGCTTATCATTTATTTCAGATATTATTTCATCCTTTGTTGCACAACTACCACTTATTATAAGCAATACTGTTATAATTAAACTTAAAAACTTCATTTATTTCTTTTTTATTATTCAATCTAAAAAAGATTTTCTACACACTTAAATATTTAAATTCAATGACATAATATCATATATTATATGAATTAATTAATCTCAATCTATTCATTAATTATACTCTCTTAACTATTTTATTATAATAACGTATTTTATTAAGTTGAAACATTGTAAAAATATCACTTCTTATTTCAATTATAATTATGCAAAATAAAAATATTATCCTTTTAATATTTACTTATCTCGAATTAGATGATTTAGCAAGATGTGAACTTGTATGTCTCAATTGGTTTCATTTCATCAATTCAGATAGCATATAAACTAGAAATATTTTCAGCAAATTTTATTATAATAGCTTTCAATAATTTAAATGGCATGCCAACAAAATTTAACTATTATAAGTCAAAGATCTAATTTTCTATGAAGAAGACTTTGAAATTAATAAGAATGATATTATTAATGCTATCTCTCCTCTTCTATTAGAATCACTTACAATTAAACTTAATCAATTCAATATTTTAGATCAATTATTGATTAATCTTAAAACTCTTAAAAAAATAGAAATAAGAATGCCCATCTAAAATTCAGAATTAGTATTACTCACTTAATTACCAAATCTGGAAGAATTACATCTCAGAATATAAAAAAAAACAGATGAAGATCTTAAATTAAGCTAATTTCATAATCTACATTCAATTTCATTATAATTACAAGGAATGAAATATACAGAAGTTCTCTTAATGTTACAAAACTCTCATGAAACATTGACTGAATTAGAAATTGATGCAGATGAATATGATCATGATCAAATGCTTTAAATTGTTAATTCATTAAATTAAGATATTATCTAAAAACTGTACATTTATTACTTTAATGATTATTCCAATCATATCATACTCAAATTAAGTCAATTTCATAAATTGAATAAGTATTTCATTATCATTAACATATAGGTTATCTATTTATAAAGCTTAAGATATTGATGAACATGCAATGTTCTCATTATTCAACAATAAACAATTTCATGAACTCAATTTAAACTAATGTGATGGTATTACAGATCAAGTTCTATATTAAATAGCTAAAAATTGTTTATTTTTAAAATACATCAACTTATCCTGGAATCTACATATTACAGATTTATGTGTCTCAATATTATTATCAAATTGTAAATATCTAGAAGAAGTTTACTTAATTGGATGCAAACAATTAACTAATGATTGTCTTCCCAAAAATTTGCATGGATTATTTTTAAAATTAAGAATATTGAACTTTGAATCATGCAATAATATGAATGATAATGAGTTAATGAATTTAAAAAACTAATTTAAGTATGTTAAAATTATTAATTATTATGGAGATGAAATTGATAAATTTTGATTTATTGATATATTACAAAAAGAGTTAAATTTATTATTATACTAATCCAATTTCTTACAAAGATCCCTAATTTCAAATTTATTTTAAGAATATAATGATAATTGCTAAACATTAAAGAAAAATTAGATTTTTTATTGATTTAATTTACTCAATTTAATAAATTTTGTAATTCTAATTCTGAATTAACGTCTCCAATATTTTTTTTGAATAATTTTATTATAATTTTTAAAATTAAAAAAGAGATACTAAAGAATATATATAATGTACCCTCCATGTTATTGTGAAAGTATGATTATTAAAATAGCAAGAAAATGGTTTTGAAAATGTTGTAATATTATTATATTTGATTGTTTTTATATATATAGTCTGATTTTTATTTATATAATTAATTATTTTAGATTAAATTTACTTCATTTATATTCCTCTAAAAAAACCTATAATTAAAAGTCGAACAAATATTTTCATATTTGCAAATTCCATAATGTCTATTAAATCAATTAAATAATAAATATATAAAAACCATTTTGATAATATTAAAATGTAGGTAATAGATTTCTTTAATCTAAAATAGCTTAAATTATTTAAATCTAAATAATAAGGAAAGTTACCAATAAATTATATAATTAAAATTTTAATATATAACTAAAATCAATCCTATTAACTCTATATGTAATTAAATCTATATCCCCAAAATTTAAATTAACTCTAAAGGAACTTATAAATTTATAACTTACAATTATTTGTCTCTATTGCTATAATAATAAAGTATGGTGATCACCTACTTTATTAAACCAATATGATAATAATTGAAATAGTTTTAAAGATAAATTCTAATTAATTCAATTAGAGACTAATTCATATTAGAAATATCTTGAATCACTTGATGTTTCTATAATTTAAATTTTCAAAATCCCAAAAATATTATTCTTATTAATTAGCTAAAGTGAATTCATCATTTTTAGACTTTACAATAATCCAACTTATTAATCAATCATTATAGAAATAAATAAATGTAAAAAGTGAATAAATAAACCTTTGATTCTGGGTATTTTAAATATCAAAAATCTAGAAGGGTAGTTAATTTCAAAATGATTTTTGTATCATTTTTTAAAATTAATAATTTATGGTTATGTTTTTCTTAGTTTATAGGCTAAAGAGCTTTGATAGAGAAAGAAATAAACATTAGTTATAAACAAGCTTATGATATCACAATATTAAGGCAAATACAGAAAAATGATAATTATTAAAAAAGATTTTATATATGAATATAATATATCTTACTTTTTATGTTAATAAATAATCTAAAAGTATTATTATATGAGTAATAAGTAGTATTGAATGTACTTCGTTTGAAAAAATTAATAGTATCATGATTGCTAAAAACAATTACAAAATTATTTTGATAATCAAATATTTAAGATAATTATAAGAATTTTCTTTTCAAGAAATATTGATTGCATTAATTCATAAATATTTGTATAACTAAATGATTTATTATTAATTTATCATCCAACAACTTTATAATGAAATAAAGAATAAAGTGTAAACTGATACCTAAATTTTTGAATGAGTTAAATGAATAATGTTTATTACAATTATCAGCATTGCAAAATAATGATTATCTAGCTTGTTTTTAAATTTCAATAATATGGATTTTATTCTTAAATAGATTAAATATTAATCTTCAAAATAATCAAAAATAAAACAAAAAGCATTGGTTTAGTTTATTATTGAATATATCTTGATTGAATTAGGAATAATAGTTTAAGATTAATGAGTTAAAATTCGATTTTTTAATGAATAGCATTTAATACAATTAATTTTTCAAATATCAATTAAATAAAATGATACTAAAAAATTTTAATTTAGAATCAAGATTAACAGTTTATCAAACTGATCGCATTATTTAATTCTTCCCTTAGTTTAGAATTACTTTATTTTTTAAGAATGCTGCAAAATAAATAGTATTTAATGATAAAGTTTTCAATTCTATATTTTAATTATTAACAATAGATAATGGTTGTTGAATGTATATTGAATAATTAAACTCTAAAAATGTAGGATTATTAATTTTTCATGTAGATTTTCTTTTCAAACTATTTTTTCAAGAAATCATTAATTTAATATTTCAGAAATTCTTCATTATTAATATGAAAACTTCTCTAGGTCTTAACATAAAATCAATATCATTAAGACCATATATAATTATTAGTTATAAATTCTTTTAATAAATATTTTGTGTAGATAATAACAATAATGTTTTATCTTGAGATAAAAATTAAAGATTAGTAAGTGAAGAAGAAACATTGATTATGTAATTTCAAAAGATTAATATTTCTTTTAACTTTTATCCCATGATACTAAATATTTTGCATCATCTGTCATAGTACCATAATTATAAGCAGTTCCACAATTTTTAGATGCTAAGATATTAAATTTGGCATCTTGAACATTTTTGATAAGATAAATATGATGTTTATGTCTAATCAATATTAGTTATTTATCTTGATTATAAACAATGGGGAAATAGTATTAGTCATCTGATTGTTAATTTTCTATTAATTCAATAGTTTTATCATTTTAGAGTATAAATTTGTCATCCTATAATTCAAATACTAAGACTTAATTAATGGATTTATCATCTGTGACCCATATAAATTAAGAATCAGTAATAAATTATATTTTACATCCATTAGGTATTAATAATTTCTATTAACTTTTTGAAAATTATTATTTATCAGGTTAGAAATAAGGTAATTAATTCTATTTAAGTTATTCAAATTGAGTGGTGTTCATAATATTATTTTATTATTTGAGTAATTCAAATTTTTCTTTATCTCTAAAAGTTTTACTCCAGATAATAAATTCTTAATAACCACATGAGGCAAGTAAAGTTTCTGATTAATTAAGTGATAAAGAGAGAACAGTTCTAGAATGTTCATTAAGTGAATAAAGATAAATTAATTGATTATTTTTAAAATTTGAATGCCAAACATTTATTGATTTATCTGATCCACCTGAAAAAAGAAGATCTTCATCTTTATTTAATAATAAACAATTAACATATCCAGTATGTTATTAATATGGAAATGAATGAATCCATTCTAATCCATTTTAATTCTTTTATTACCAACAAATTATTGTCTTATCATCTGAACCAGATACAAAACTATCTGTCTATTTGCTATATACCAAACATGTAATCTAATTTTTATGAATCCAAAAAGAATCTAATAATTTTAATTTACCTTAATTATAATTCCATATTTTAATTCTTGTATTTTCAGTAGATATCATTATTGATCCACTTTTATTAAAAGCCATTACTTAACAATCTCCTTTCTAATAATGATAATCATCTATTAAATTAAATTCAGCATTCTCTTCTGTTTATGATTATTTTTATTACTCTTAATATTATTCTTAATCTTAATCATCTCTTACTTATGTTAATTCATATTGTTAATTATCATCTAAACTTTACTCTTCTTATTTTGTAGACACATATAATTAATCAATTCCTTTTATGTATTCTACACATTATTTTGTTTCTTCAAATTCTTAAAATTATTCTAATCTTTCTATTATTTTATTCTCTTAGCTTTTATTAGCCTTATTTATTTAATCTATTAGTAGTTTCAAATCTAATTCTACTTTTGTTTCATTTATTAAGCTATCCAATTCATCAACAAAATTTAATATTACTTTTGATTATTCTCGTATTTGATATATATTCTTTATCCAATTTCCACATATATCTATCATTTTATCTAATCTTTATACTACTCCTTATTTTAATATATTTAAACTCTTTTCTAATTTCTCAATCTATAATACACTCATCATTATCACATTAGATACTTCTTCTCTTCTTTTACTTTAAGTCTATTCTACCAATTACATAGCACTCACATAACTCTTTACATTTATTGTATTATATTCTAAATTATCCATACATTCTGAACAAAACAATCTTTCATTCTTATCTAAATTCTTATCCCATACTACTACACAAATTGGAAGTTAATGCTTCTCACAATCTTGACGACTCTCGATTTTTATCTTTTTTTAATTTATCATTATTATTATTAAATTATTATATAATTCATATATTTTATTATTCAATTATCCATTTAATATTTTGCTATACTATTTATAAAAAAACAATCATTAGCCGTTTACTCTCAAGAATAAATATATTTCATACTCTATTTATTTATTTCTATTCTCAATTATAATTATTTATATTGCCATCATATTTCAAACTTTATTAAAGATTGACAGACATTAATTAAAAAAAGAATTAAAATCTATATGTAACAAAGAAAAATAGAGTAAATTTTAAAAAAGTTATATTTAATAAAATATGATCAAGGTAAATAGATAAATTAATTACAAAAATTAAAGTAAATTATTAAAATATAAATTGCAAGAAACTAGTTGAATTGTTTCCTAACATTCTTTTATCTATAATGGCAATCCAATATGAAAATGGGAGAATTATAATGTCTATATGTATTATTATAAATTATAGAAAATCTTAAGAAAAATAAAGATGATAAATCTTAATAAAGAACAAGAATAATTAGAGTTAAGAAATATTATAATTTAAAAAAGAAGGATTATCTAATGATTAATTAATATCATAATTTAAATAACAAATAATATGTCTTTAGAAAATCAATTAAATATGTGGTTTCATATGTGAATATTCGAAATATCATTAATTATTTTATTATTGTTTTTTGAGAGCTATAAACCGATAACAGTAATAAACTAATTCTGAAAATTTCTGAATACTTGTTTAACTATTATTATAATGATGATGATGTCTAAAATAATAATTAAAATAAATATTAACAATTAAAAAAATGATCATAATTAGAAATTAGATAGTAATTATATTAGTTATTTAATATTTAATTGATATAAAAAATATTGTTATATAAATAAAAATATGTTAGTAGATTGGATGAATATATAAGAATTATTGTATAAATATATATTAAAATAATTACATCTGATGAGTGGTCCAATAAAGATTGTAATGTTAGGGGAAGGTTAGATAATATGAATGAATATGATTAGGTAGAGTTGGAAAGACATGTCTGACATTGAAATATTGTAAAAATGAATTCAATGGGGAATAATAATCTTCTGTGGATGCTACTTTTTTTGAGAAGAGTATAGATTTAGGTGGTGGTAAGAACATAACATTAGCAATTTGGGTATTATTTGAATTGAATAATAGGATACTGCAGGATAAGAGATATTTCATGCTTTAACTACAGTTTATTATAGAGATGCTTATGGAGCAGTATTAGTATATGATGTAACATATAAGGAATCATTTCTTAAAGTATATTAGCTATATTATTAATTTAGGTAGAGAAATGGGTAGAGGAATTAAGATCATTTGGAACTAAAGATATATGTATTGTTGTTGCGGGTAATAAAAGTGACTTGAAAAACCAAATATAAATTGATAAAAATGAAGTTGAAGAATATTGTAAAAAGATTGGAGCTAAACATTTCTTTACTTCTGCCAAATCAGGCGGAGGTATAAATGAAATGTTTCTATCTTTGGCAGAAAGTAATACTTATATTTAATTATAGGTATCTCAATTAAAGTATAAGCATAACAAAGTAAAGGTAAAAAAAAGAAAGGTTTATAAATTAAAGATGTTAAAGACACTAAGAAATCTAACTAAAAAAATGAAGGATGTTGTTGAAATTATATCAAATTATTTATTAATTAATCTAATCCTTTAATTTTCATTTTCTCTTTTATTTATTCATTTCCATACATTCTTTTTTTTATAATATATATTATTCTAAAGAAAATATTATCTCAATTAAGTTCATAAAATACTTATATAATATGTAAATATAATCAATCATCTTTTTAAAACTATTAATTCTTCTACCAATTATTTATTCATCTATCCGAAAATGATATAAATACTATATCAATAAAATCTTTATCTACACATTACTAATATCATTATCCTTATTCCATTTTAAGTAACGAAATTAGTAAAGTATAAATTCATCATAAATTCTTAAGAAAAATAAAAAATAATAATTAATTATATAATGTATTATAACACTTATAATTTTAATGCTCTTTCAAGATTAAATACAGGATCATAATTTTTAAATTCAAGAATAAGTGTAAAATAATAGAAACCTTAAGAATATTCAGTACCATTTAGTGCAACAATGAGTCCAATTAAGTAATAAAGAGAATCATATTAACCGATAATAGAGAAATATTTCAATTTACAAACTGAAACTTAAGAGGATAGAATTTGTTTTGATTGTTTGAATAATTTCATTTAGAATATGATCTAAGGAGGTGAATTAACAAAATAAATAGTAATAGAAAACTTAACAGGATTGAGAAATTTAATTGACTTCATTTTGAATTCATAATAAGAATAATAATCAATAATGTAAGAATAGAAAAGTGGTTTATAAAGTCTAAATTCATCTTAAATTGGATAATCAATTCATAATTAATAATAATAAATTCCAGAGATTGAATTACTTGAATAAAAGAGATTTCCAAATGGTGTAAATCGACTTTTAGAAGAATAAAATAAGAGTTTATAGAGTTATTTAATAGTACATCAATCTTAACAAAGTTAAGGATCTCAATTAAATTAAACAGAATAATAAAATGAATCAGTTGACGTATCAAATTAGAGTTATTATTCAGAATATAAACGGTAGGCTTAAAATATTGAAATGGATTTATAAAATTTTCTAAAATAAAAATGATATATATATATATATTCAATATTATGATCACTATTTAATTCTGATATAAACATTTTGAATGCTATATCTTGAAGAAAAGGCTTTGGTTGATAATGTTTACATGTTAGAAAAATGTTGACTAACAGATTTAGTTTTATCTGCAGTTCTATCTCTACTATATTTAATTAATCCTTCATTCTTTCTCATTCTAAATTAATTAAGAAGCACTGGAGGTAATTCACATTTTTTAATACTTCTAGATGTTAATGCATTTCCATCACTTAAACAGCTCTCTTTATTATTAATACATTTAATTATTCCACCTACTTCTATTTTCTTTTAAGAATGATCTTTCCAATATTTTACTGTTGACATCATCATTGAAGCTCTCTTTACAGCTTTACGCAGTGTACTCTTATTCTCTATCTTTACCTTTTATATTGTATGTTATAAACAAATTGATTCAGGATAAAGACAGTTTAATCTATCCATTTTCTATCCTATTACACCTTCTTAATAACTCTTTCTTCTCTATTTCGTTGGCATCTCTAATAGTTTACCAACAAATGATCTATTCTTATTTCTCTTACATTTAACCAACGATATTAATAATGAATTACGTTTCTCATTTATTACCCTATAACATCGACAACTTCTATTTATATTCTACTCATTTATATCATCATTACTCATCTCTCTTTTTTATTATTATATCAATTAATTTTAACTATATATATAATAATAATTATTTATAATTATCTTTTAATTATAATTCAATTCTCTTAAATAAGGATCCATCTCATATTTTCAACTAAAAAACTTATCGAAAGCTAGAATTTTTTTTTTTTACCAATTCCTTTTCCTGATTTTCCTGCCATTTTTATTGATTTAGCTAGAATTATCTATATTTTTAAAATTATTTAATATCTTTTCACACTCAGAATAATATTTAAATGATTTAAATTATTCTAATTTCAGATTTAACTTCTAAGCCCATTAATTATTCAGATCCTTAATTTATTTTTCAATTTTTTCATTATCAACTTTTAACTCATTTTTAATTAACAAATCTAATCCTTAATAAAAACTACCTTCATTTAAGCTGTTAAAATTATTATTCTCCCAATTTTAAGCTATTTCAATCATCGAGTCTAATTCTTAGTTTAAAAATGACTTTAACTAAATAATATTACTTTTAAATTAATCAAGTTGTTAAATATTATCATTTATTAAGATATTTCTTATTTTACTTATTTCTTAGTGATTTTCTAAAATAATTTAATAAGCTTTGCTAAATCCCATAGTTTTATGAATAGTTTCAAGACCTTACAGACACAAACTACATAGAAGTCTGTTTTAATAATGATTTTGATCTAAGATAACCATTAAAATAGGTTGATTAAGGTGATTTGGATTAGTACATTTTATATCTTATTCTTTTTCTATTAATATGGAGTTGAATGGGTTTGTGATATGGGTTTGGGTTTTGGGGTTGGGTTGGGTTGGGTTGGGTTTGGGGTTGGGTTTTGGGGTTGGGGTTCGGGTTGGGGTTCGGGTTCGGTTTGGTTTCTTTTTAGTATCTCTAACCAAGACATATTTAGTAAAACTTATAAAAAAATTGATATTGTGAAGATTACAGGAAAAAAATATAACAACATTCTAAATGTATTGAATAATATAATTTTCATTTCGTAAAAATTGAGATTTTTGAACAATCTTTAGATTCAACATCTTAAAAACTCCTCTAGAAAATAGAAAAGAAATATTTTGTTAATAACATAAAATGTAGATCATTTTTTGTTTAATTCTTTTTTTGGTAATGATGGAGTAAATGTTAATAGATAGTGTACCATTTATGCAATGACTTCAGAATCTAATTTTTAGAGAGGGAAAAAGAATCCATCTTTATCATTCATGATATCCTCGAATTCTGTGATAAATAAGAATTGATACCGGCATCTAATATTTTTTCTTGGTCAATGAATTAATTACAAAGATGTGATCCTCTGACTACAATGATAGGTAATTTATTAATGATGGCTTCTCTGATTTCATCAAAACAATCATTGGAATCAGCAAATAAAATGTTAACAATTTTGCACCTTGGTCTTCCTTAAGTTTTACTAATTTTTCCAGTAGCAATTCTATTATTTAAATTTAGAGTAGAATATACGCTTTGCATAGATTAATTTTAAATAATGCTTCAGTTCCATAATTGACATTATCACCTCCAATTAAGAAAATATGTGTATGACCGTTACTTAATTCATTTTTTTCAATTTTGGTTGGATTTAATTTAGGATATGAGACAGCTTATTCAGGTGCAATACCAATTAGCTTATAAATAGAAAAGAATGAAATACAGTGCAATTTCTTCTAAGACTATATTTTTCAATTCCTGTAGTAATTGCATTATCAATAATAACAGCATCAGTATTATGACATGCTCTAGCAATACCAGCATAGAATTTACCACGATTAGAATTTGGATTATCAAAGTTATGTCTACAACCAATAAAATTAAGAACAGGTAATCCATCATCTAATTTAAGTTTAGTAAGTATTTCAGTCATAGGAAAAGTTTTAGGTTATGAATAATTCAGTTTTATTAATTTAGCTAATTTACCTGCTGGGAATAGAAAATCGAAGCACTTCCAAACTTGATTTTATTCTAGTTTTTGTTGAGTCATAAAAACATTAGGATCTTCAGAAGGCTATTAAAAAAATAGTATATAAATAATACAATTTAAGTATCAAATTGATTGTTATCAGGCTATTATTATTCATCTAATTATTGTTATAATTCTTCCTCTGCTTATTCAGACATATAAAATATAGTAATAATATTAATTAAATGATATTGATCTTAATCATGTTAGCAACAGGCTTCTGTAATTTTTTAGGGAAAGTCAATAAAGTAGATTCAGATAATTTAAGAGTATTTTTATTTCCTCATTCACATGATGATGTAGGATGGGTAAAAACAATGATGGAATACTATAATGATAAACATGGAGTTAAATAAATTATTTCATCTTATATGGAATAATTAATAAAAGATAAGAATAAGCATTTTTCATAAGTAGAAATAGCGTTCTTTTCAATGTAAATATTATAAATTGATACAAAATAGATGGTGGAATGAATAAAATGATGTAATGAAAGAAAAAGTAAAAGAATTAGTAAAGAATGAATAATTAGAATTTTTAAGTGGAGGATGGTGTATGAATGATGAAGCAACAGCATATTATGAAGATATAATAGATTAGATGACACTTGGACATAAATTCTTACTTAAACATTTTAATTACATTCCATCAATAGGTTGGTAGGTAGATCCATTTGGACATTCTAATACATAAGCTTTATTTTCCAATATGATGGGTTTTAATGCATGGTTTTTTGGGCGTATAGATTAAGAGGATCGTTCAATTAGAGAAAATAAAAAAGAATTAGAATTTGTAATTCATTCTGATTCTGATCATTCTATATTGACACATGTTAATTATTATGGTTATTATTCATCGCCTAGAGGATTTGATTTTGATGTTACTAATCCAAACAGATAATAAGTTACAGATTCTAATTTATAATCTAAAACTGAAGAATTAGCTTCTTATTTCAATAAATAAAAAAATGCATATAAAGGAAAAATATTAGCACATACTCTTGGAATGGATTTCTAATGGTCAGATGCTGCATCATATTTTAATTAAATGGATAGAGTCATGAATAGAGTTAATAATAATACAGAAAAATATAAGATGATTATTTAATATGGTACTCCAAAATAATACATATAAGCATTATATGAATAAAATATTACATATCCTTCATAAAAAGAAGATTTCTTTCCATATGCTGATTATCCTAATTAATATTGGTCAGGTTATTTTACAAGTAGATCAGCATTCAAAGGTTATGTAAGAAGAATTGGAAGATACTTTTAATAACTTAAAGTATTTTATTCCTTTATCAAAATAAATAATTTGTGTAAATCTATTTGTGATGATAAAAATATTAATGATTTAGCTGAAGCATTAGCTACAGCTTAACATCATGATGCTGTCACTGGAACTGCTAGACAATATGTTAATAATGATTATATTAAAATGATTAAAAAAGCAAGATAAAATATGGATAAATAAATAAGTGAATTACTTAATCATTTATCAAACACACAATCTATTACACATACTACATGCAATTTTAATGGAACTAATGTTTGTCATTCTTTATATGATTCATTAATCAAAAATTAAACTGTTATCCTAACTATTATTGATACTAAAATTAATAATGATGGAATCACAGAATATCTTAAATTATACGTACCTGATAATTTATATATCAGTGCAACTGATCCATAAGATAATCTTATTTCAGGAGAAATTTTATGTTCTGGTGGATAATGTATTCTATACTTATCTAGAACTATTGATAATTCCAAAATTATTCACTCTTATAAATTAAAAACTGTCTCATCATAAGATGAGACAAATATTCATACAATTCAACCTGAATAATTTAATGTTGATCAAGATACTAAACTTTTTAACAAATTTAAACTTAATTATAATTTCTATTTTTCTTATTCTGGTGCTTATGTATTTAGACCAGATGGAAATTCTAGACCATATGGTAATTATGTTAAAGCTTAAAAATTTAATGGTAAGCTTGTTAAATAAATTTATATTGAAAAAACTGCAATTAAAGCATGGATTACTAATTTTGATAAGAATGAAAAAATATTTTATATTGATACTTTTGTTGATTCAATTGATATTTCAGATTATAAAGGAAAAGAAATTATTCTTATAATTCTCACTGATATCAATAATCAAAAAGTATTTTACACAGATAGTAATGGTTTATCATTATAAAAACGATAAATTAATCATAGAGATTCTTGGAAAATGACAGTCTTAGAACCAGTCTCAGGCAATTATTTCCCTGTTAATGGAGCTATTATGATTCAAGATGAATAATAAGCATGTGCATTGCTTAATGATAGAGCATAAGGAGGTAGTAGTCTAACTAATGGAGCTATTGAATTAATGTTATAAAGAAGATTGAATAATGATGATAATAAAGGAGTCTTTGAAAGACTTGATGAATAAGAAGAAGTTGATAAAAAAAGAGTTGGAATGAGATAAATGATGTCACATACACTTGTTTTCTATGATCATTCATCAAATTCTAATCTATTAAGACAATTATAATATCAATTAGATCTAAAACCATTAATTTATTTCTCAACCTAAAATTCAATTAAATATTAATCATTAGAAAATAAATTTGCTGATTTCATACCAAAACTATCTGACTATAATCTATGTAAATTCTACATCGAACCTTGGTTAGCTGAAAATTAATATTTAATAAGAGTTCATAATTTTAGGGAATAAGGAATCTAAAAACTTAATTTCCCTCCCAGTTTAAGATTCGTCGAAACTACTCTTACTGGTAATTAAGAACTTAAAAATTGGGAATTAAATAAATTTAGTAACTATATTATATATATAATTAGGATGGTCTGACACATATACTAAGGAATCCCAAGAACAGAGTTATGGTGATGATGAAGTAGGACCGATGAAAATTAGAACATGGATTGTTACCGTATGAATTATATATGTATATCAAAATTGTAATCTGAATTTTATGTCTATTGCCCAATAGAAATAATTATAATGAAAATTCTAATCATTTCTTATATTTAAGGAATTAAATCATTCTATTCAATATATTCTAATGTTATTTGAAAACAATAAGGTATGACACTAAATTTATGATAAACTTGTATCT